GAGAAGGAGTTGGTTGGTCAAGGACTAATGCAGCCCTAGTTGATCATTGTAATCAGAATCCTCAGTTCCAAGCCCAGTTCATCTGCCCTTGTTATGCCTGTAGCCCTAGTTGATCATTGTAATCTAAATAACTTCAATTCTATGCGCAATCACCTGTGCTTATTATAAATATATTTCAGGCAAGCTGGAACTAAACAGTTAATTTCATCATCCTTATAATAGTTGAGAATGGCTTGGTGTTCCGTCGGAACAGCCAGATTGAGTGCGCGCAGGGAGTGCAGCGTGTGTGACATAGGCTTTTTGACATTACTCATACAATCCAATCAATTTTGTATGGAGCCTTTCCTGCGTGGATTGAACAATAATATCTAAACAGAGAGAGGGACCTGAATGCCTGCAAAGTACCTACCTATAAGAGTGGAGCCTGGAAACTGTTCCCAGGCCAGTATTAAGATACCATACTACACTGCGAACAGTTGAACTTGCAAATGTAGGTATGACGAAGGAGGTAACAGCTGGTCGCAGTGAGCTTGGAGTTGGTGATATTAGAGGAAAGAAAAGACGGAGGGGAGGGAGGAAAAGCAAAGAGAAGAAAGAAAGAGAGAAGAAGAAAAGAAGAAAGAACGAAAGAAAAAAGAAGAATAAAAAAAAATAAATAAAAAAACACAACCTCAAGCTACCAGCTCCTTAGTATGCCGTTCAGGACTAGGTGTCAGGTTCCATGATGCATAACGATTAAGAGTTGTCGATAAAGCCTTATAATATCATTGTAGTTGCATACCATAGGACCATCGTCCACCTGGTCATTGAAAAGCCTACAGAAGGATAGGTACAGAGTACATACTACTGGTGAGCCAGACAGTCTATCCAGAGGAAGGAACATGGTAATAAGCCATCGTCGGTTGCGTGGGGACTTGAACCCCTGCGTGCTGGTTTCAATATTAGGAAAAGACCTGAATATCGAACTCGCCGACTCTACCAAGTAGGCCAACTGCTTGGAAGAATGGCATCTTATTGCTCAATATATAATGTAGAGGGGGGCAGTGGCTGGAAGGTACCCAGGTATTGGCTGGGTGACGCGCGCGGGAACGCGTTCACCACACGAGATGAGTCGATAGCAACAATGAGGTACACCCGTAACTGCCTCAATGGCTCCTAAGCCACATTGTCTACCTACGTGTAGTAACTTAGGTACAAAAATACCTGCGTAAATAGCAAACAACCATTGACATCGGGCATGTGATTGGTCTCTGTTCTACGTTCTCTTAGTGTGTCGTGTCACCCAGCTCACTCCAATCATCTCTCTGATACGAAACTTGAAGTTCATCGGGAACAGTCTCATACACCTCAGCATTGAGTTGCTCCTAACTCCAAATACACCATTTTCATATTCTCGAGTATAACGTCTTGACGAAACTTCCATCTTCTTCGCAGAACTGCCCGGCCTTTACAGCTTGGATCAGAGGCTCTTCTTTCACCATGGCACCAACAGTCCCTCCTCTCTCCGCCCTCATGGTCAAAGACTGGTTGGGCGGCTTGCGTTGGGAAACCAAGGGTTATAAAGGATATGACGACAAAGATAACAGGGTGCATCAGCACCGGAACCTTCTTCATCATCGCCACTCTACCCATATTGCGAAGACCTTGGTCCGCAATCTGGCGACAAAATCTCGTCCCATAATTTCTAGATGCCTCGCAGACATCTATAACAACGCAAGCGAACGCGTTCACCTCTGTGATCGCATGGAGCCCGAACAATTCTGGGCCTATGAAAAAAATTCATGGGAGTGGTCTCAAAGTTTCAATGATGAAGCATTCTGGGCGTTCACTCACAAGCTCTTTCTCGCCCGCGCCTTGTATCTCGACACTGTCCCAGAAGGCCACCGCTCACGAAGATATCCTCTTCCCGAAGCCCTCGATCTTTTCCGTGATCGCTTCTATGCCCGTTACGGTCCTGGGGTCATCTCTGGCTCTATATTCGGAACCCATCCCTCTCAGGGGGAACTCGACAAAGTACAAAAGAAGATTTTTGCCGCCCAGAAGACCCGCGATACGTACTTCCAATACTCGCAAGTGGACAGCGAGGGAGATGGAAGCGACCGACTCAAATCGACCGTTGTACAGGATGATAGAATCGATCCAAACCGAGAGAAATACTACTGGTGGGATGAAGTCCATGTGGAACCAACAGAAGATATCGTCGCGTACTACTTTGATCTTGGTCTCCAAAACCCTCGCCATGGTCATAAAGACGCTTATCAGGAAATTGAAGACGCCTTAAAACAGGCGGAGGAAGAAGAAGAACGAGAAAAGTTGCTAGACAAAGAGCGGACTGGGCTTGAAGACGATCTTATGATGGTTGATGTCAGCAAGGAAGATGATTGTATCGGAGATATGGGAATGGGGGGTCTCGAAATGTGAGCACTGCAGCCACTTGTAGGTGTCTCATGGTCTACCAACGGCTTAGTCTTCATATCGACATGCTACTATTAATCATTCGATCCGTTGAAAGGTAACGCCGCAATATTGAAGCAGTCGCTTGGGCTTGTGTTCCCTTATTACTACGCAAGCAGTCAATCAAAAACGTAGACCCTACTACATAACACACTTGAGTGCCAAAGGAGTAAATACAACCTAATATATTCACCCAATTTTTAAGTGACCAGCGGAGTAGTTCCCATCCACCCTAACAAAGCCATCGCAAGTACATACAGATCCCTCGAAATTATATACAAAAGTCCTCGTAGTTGCAAGTGATCGGACATTAACCATAACAATCTCCAACGCCTTATATGAAAACGAACAAGGCGCTCGAGTCAGATATTTCTCATAACATAAACATAAAAGCAAGAGTAAAAGGTTCGAAACTGAACAAAATGTGAATACTGAATAACTATGACCGCTTAGAGCAAGGCTGCGGCACCGAGAAGACCGCCTACGGCGGCCGCGCCCAGCAAGGCACCAGTAGGCTTAGCAGCACCAGCCGTGACGATTGAGGTGGGATAGGATCCTGTAGCGGTCGGTGTAGGCGAGTAGACCGAGGTCGGGTAAGTGCCGTTAGCCATACCGCAAGGAGTAGGCGTGGGCGTAGGGGTTTCCTCGCACAGTCCCGTAGGGGTCAGCATCTCGTGGATGTAGCTGGTTATGCTGGCCACCTGGTCTTCGGGGGCGCATTCCGTGGCCACGCCGATCAAGACGTCGCTGTTGACCGAGCCGAAGCTGAGAACCGACACGATATATGTCTGGAACTCTGGCAAGATTGAGGCAGGGAGTTCGCGGTAGATCGAGCAGATCTCCTCGCCGTGGGCTTCGGGGCCAAAGGTAGCCAACGGCGGCTTGGAGTTTGTTTGGTGGGCCAGGAAGTCGAGGACGGCGACGGGCGTTGTAGGGCCCTCGGTGTTGGCCCAGCTTAAAAAGGAGCTCATTTTCGAGACACAGTATGCGGCGTCAGATCGTTGAGCCACCGTAGTGCCCGCCAAAGCGGTGATGAAGAGAAGAATGTTAGACTGCATTGTGCCTGTTGGTTGAATTCTTTTCTCAAGGTGGGAAGGTAGTCGAACTGAAGGAAGTAGATTGACGGGATGTTAGCATGTCTTCTCTGTTTGTTTGAAGCCTCGTAAAGTCGGGTAGTTTATATATTTCGACGACTTGATGTTGAAAATGGTGTCACGTCTTGATGATGAATAACAACGCTCATAACCAGCAAGGGTGTAAGTCAAAAGCAGGGCACTTAATCTCGAATTGTTTGACGGGTGCTGCATTAGCGCGATGGTGCCTGATCCCTCTCATCTTGGTCTAGATCCTATTGCCCACGGATGTGAAGCATTCTGCAGGGTCCAGTGACCTTCCATAAATGGCCGATCTGAGCAGACCCAAGTATTACTGCAAAGGTGTTGTTTGGTTCTTTGTTCTTGTAGTTGCAATATGTACTTGATAGCTAAAACGACTTTAAAGCTATCGTCCAAGTATTTTTTCAACGTACACTGAGTTTGGCACCCTCACATGCATATGCAGTCGTGTTTAGTTCCCGCGGCACACACCCAGCACACCGATCCAGAGATATGGAATCAAATGTCACGAATCTTTCTACTCGGTTACCGATAATAGATGAGAGATCTCTGGGCATCTGTGCCGCAAAGTAAACTTACCATATCCTCATCCTTTGTGCAATGAGTAGATTGTTTGATAGCACATCAGAATTGCCAAGGGTAGCCACAGGATCGTAGGAAGAAGGATAAGCTGTTTTCCCTTCTATTGTTGTCATAAGACGTCGCCAACGTAGTTGTCGTGGGAGCCACTCCAGAAGCCAACGACGTGATTAATCTAAACGTCAATGGATACAACCAAGTTTAGCAGGTAGACGAGGCGTCGTTGGTAAATGACCGAAAGATTTGATAAAAAGCTAAGCGAGCTACTCAAAGAAATATGACTTCACGAAATATGCATCGTCTGTTTTTGCGTGCGCCTCATCAAGCATGCGGCACGCGGCACAGTTATTGCCTTGAGCCCATGTGAAAGCGTAAAGCTCGGTAGTTTCGCCTGGTTAAAGACTTATTGGTGGGATGTTCCCTGTCCATCGTGATGTTGCTGTGATTGTAGTGCTGGACATATGCTGTTGCGACTTCTACTTGTGAGTAAGCAAATGCCGAGAATCTAAGCGGGGAGAAAGGTCAAAGATCCTGTATCACCAGTGTTCAGCTATATGTGGTGAAACAAGAATTCGATGTTGTCATCGAGCCATCCGCTGTCATGATGAAGCCACAAAATGCAGGAATGCAACTTTACACACACGTGGGTGACAAATAGCTAAGAACTTTTTTCGGATCTATCCGGGGCCCCGTACGTGTTAGGGCTGACTATATATAGTCCCGCGTAAATCTGGTTGGTTCGCTGTATTTGTCAATCGTTTCTTCTTGCTTTCAGCCACGCCAGCTTTGACACTGCCTTCTGAATATCATCACTAGGTCACCTTTGGAAATTCCAAGAGTTTCAAGATGTGATGAGATTCTGTCAAGATCCCGAAGAACAAGTCATCAAATCCTTAGAAGCTGCAGGTGGAGAGTATCCCGTCTGCGGGCTGTTAAATCGCGTTGATACGCGTGAAGATATTGACAGGGTTCATTGTCTGCCGAGATTGACATACAAGGGTTACATGTACTCTTCGTGGTACACCACAATGTGTCATAAAGTGTGAACTTGACCAACTTCGCAGTTGGCTTCCCTCCGCATCTTGAGTAATGCCTTCAACCCCTTCCGGCGTCGTGGATATGCATACGACGCTGCATTCCTCGCGTCTCTTGGTGTCTGCTTGTCACGGAGCCTGTCAAACTTAGACAAGCACAGGCCTTAAAGGTGGATGTCATACATACTCAGCCAACCTTTAAAAAAAATAGAATTTATGTGGAGTAAAGGGAGAGCTAGTTCCTCGCGCAGCCACAACAAGTCGGTGCTCAACTACCAGCGGTAGGAAGCATTGACAATACTTACAGTTGAGTTTTCAAGTTTCATAAGTCAATATAGGATTTTACGGACGGTCCGATAGCTTCCCGTAGCTTCCCGTGTCAGTACACTAGTGTAAATGCCACTGTCAGCTTACCATCTTCACTTTTACAATAGAACTTGCTTGCATTGTAATTTAGGTGTGGCGGTGGCCCTTACTGAGTAGGTATACCTAGTGCAACTAAGGGCGGAACAGTCCGCACATGTGATACCCTACTCATAGCAGCATCGTTATCCCCCCTGGATACCCCGCGACAGGTCGACAACTATATCGGCCAACTATACATTAGACGGACGCAGTTTGGGTAGCGAAGCAGGGGTCATAAGCTGGGAACTATAGACGGGACATACTAATGTAGTCCCTCGAAGCTGAGGGAGGGTAACCGGATTTCTGTCTACCTATTTAGGAAGGCTTGCAACTTGGCGTGTGTTGGCGGCCGCACGACGACACATCTCTACTACACCGCGACACAACTCAGCAACCATGGTTGCTTTTCTGTCTTGCTCGCGTCTCGTTACGACCGACCAACGCGAGCAAAGCCGTGAATGCATGGGCGCGGCACGGTGACATGATAATGTCTAGATGAGATGTTCTGCATTGGTACTCACCCTTACGAACCCCAAATCAATCTACACTTGGTACCGACTCCTCGATCCTTGTACGCAACAAATTTGGCTCCTTGTCAAGTGTTTTCCAGCAACTATAATACGGAGGCGAAGAGTAGGGGTGACTCAAGTTACCTCGTCGGCAGTTATCGACTCAGTCTTACCAATTCACCTCTGTAACTACCTGGTCAAAGTTGACTTGGATTCTATTTACCAGGATAGGCTGCTATAAGGAGAGATGTACTAGGAAGCTAGATGGTAGCCATGATACTGAGAAATGATTCAATTTCCGCTACAAGTTAAAACCAGCATGAGCCAACCCCAACTTGAGCTTGCAATATGGCTCAACATTGTTTGGACTTTACTGTTCCATACAAGGCCGCTGTCAGGGACACATGTCCCGCGAAACGTAACAATGACGCCGGTTTTTATCCCGCCATAACCAGCCTCATGATCTTTATTCCCGGTGTCAGCGAACTCCCGAGTATGGTGGTGTTGACCGAGTGCTTCTCTACTGATCTGGTCACGCATGTGACCTACTATATTACCCCCCATCTAGAGCATCTTAGCTATATACACGGTCTGGCTTTTTCAACAGGGCTCTCAAACACCCTTAGTTCGGGTAAGTGATGTGCTAACAATATGGTGTAACACTAAGACTGCAGAGTCGAGCCGTCCCATGTCTTCACGGTAAACGTAGCGCTGACATTCAACCCTGCTACATTCCTCCCGTAAGAACTCTCTTTCAAGCCTCAGCCGCAACAGTCAAGGATCCATGTGTCTGTCATAAGCCTAACAGAACGAATCCCTGGAGAGAGAACTCGAGGTAGGCACAAAGGTCCTGAAGAACTCCCGTGAATTGATAAATGCCATATTCTAAAGGTACCAATCTTAACATTCGTAATAGTTCCTATCTTCATATCCATCGTCATCCTCTTCCTCTTCCACCCTTAACTGACACATCGACCGCAACCATCGCAACCCAGTCTCATCATATAAGACATCAAATCACACCGCTTAATGAACCTTGAAAAGATCCTGAGCAGATCCCAGCGTGAACATGATACCAGTAACAACACCAGCAGAACAGGTAACTACCAACGCACTAAACATCACTCACAGACCTAGTTAAAAAGCCATAAGCACCCATTACCAAGTCATTGCAGCCAATTGCATTTCCATCAGCGTAGTTCAAACCCAAGAATCCGAGTCCTCTGTATCTAGCGTTGACAACTCGCTGACATCGCAATATATCTTCGTAACATGACAAGATGTATAAAACCCTTAAAACTACATAATCTGTCAATCATCATCTCTGCCATACAGAACAGATAGGTATGGTGCTATGTATATGATATCAACCGTATGATATTTACATATATGATTCGGGCAACAACAAGAGTCATCTACGCCCATACTTAAAGTCGTGACAAATGGTTTAAAGATGGGCGCACTTGTCTGTCTGCACTACGCCAATTTAACGCGAGGCTTGCAAACGCAAAGATGGCATCATCCCGTCTCAATGCAAAACTTCATTCACACATGGCGGCCATAGACTTGCTTTGGTATTTATATTCATAATACACTATAAGTATTTACAGTCTCCGTATCTTCATCCACTCGCTCGTCCCAAGGCCTAGATTCAATCCATTCCTTGCCCACCATCTGCGTATCGGGCGGGGGTCGCCGATGGCATCTTCGAGCGCCTCTTCGATGTCGCACGTCTTATACTCGACGCGATGCGTCCTGCCGTCGCCGCCGGCCTTCTCGCCGCGCGCATATTGCTTCCACCATTCCAGGACGTCGATGTGCCCTTGCTTGGTAGGCGCCACCAGCACCTGTGAGTCGAAGGAGAGCTTCTCACCCTTCAGCTCGTGCCACGTGTCGAGGACCGCGGTCTGGCCGTGCGCGCTGGCAATCTTGCAGACGCCCTCGCTGTAGCCGACTGGGGTGCCTGAGCCCTCCCACCAGCGGAGCACAGCTGTCTGGCCGTGCTGGGCCGCGGTTAGGAGGCTCCGGCCGGGCTTGAGAACAATGTTATCGTCCTTTAGTGCCGCCTCTTTCCACCACTCCAGCACTAATAGGTGTCCCTCCTTGGAAGCAGACTCGAGAGCGGCTTCAGTATATTTCAGGGGGAGACCCGACCGTACCCACCAATCTAGCACGTGGACATAGCCCATCCGCGAGGCGTGATCTAGTGCCTCGGCATCATACTCCTTCTTCAAGAAGGATGGTGAAGTATTCCACCACGTGAGAATGTCCACACGCCCGTAAACCCCGGATGCTTTATTGGGTAGGAATTTGGCGCTAAAGGAGGCCCAGAACACTTTGCTCAGGTTAGTTTCTAGGTAGGTCAGCACATCAACGAGTGAAAACTTCATGATGAGCTTCACTACCAGAGAGGATACGTAACGGAGCCCCTTTGGTGCTTCGGCCAGTTTTTGACATATGACATCAGATCCCGGACAGGAGAGTATTAGCCATTCGAGATCGTGCATGTAAATTTCGAGAGGATCAATCAAGTTTATTCGATTCTTCTTCCATTCAATAGGTATTTCGAGGGTCGTATATATGTTAAGCGCTGTGGCGACCTCCCAGTCGCCAACATGCTCAAAGATGAGGCTCCATATCTCAGGTGGGAGTGTCTTGGCCACTCGACGAGGGCTGATGGTGTGCATGGCTTGCTTCGCAGCGACCTCTACGTCATGCCCGAGGCTCATAAGCTCGGCTTGGTTTTTGATGATTCCGACAAGGTCATTGAAGCCATCCCACGACACCACGCGCTTCCCATCCCCACGTCGTTCGTAATGCCACAGGACTGGTGACATGACTTTGATCCAATTCCACTTTCGTTTTATCTTGCTGAGTTGCTTCTTGGTCATCGGGTGCTCCCACATCTGCACCGACATGCCCGGCACTAACAAGATCTTCTTGGAGACGTCCCAGGCGCGTAAGACTTCGAGTAGAGTAGTATCAGCGATGCCGGACATCATCTTGGCGAGGTGGTCGGCGTCAATGGGGGCGAGGACGAGTAAATCCGCCCATTCGACAAGTTCAAAGGCAGTCTGGCGCGCAGCTTCTATAGCATCCTTCGTCCTCTGATCGGCATCGATAGCAACAGTGGCCAGGCTTCGGTTCTCCATCACCATGATCTCGTGTGTAAGTCGCAAGGGAACCTCGTCGACTAGAGCTCGAGTCTCGATCTGGGCATCTTTGAGGAGACGCACGGCGATGGCCTGAGCATAGGCGACATCTCGTTGGCCATTTGCAGCAACAAGCATCCGCAACTTCCTTATGCGCGGCATTTCATGTAGAGAAGAACAGGAGGAGTTGATGGTTCGGAGAAGCGGTGAACGGCGGTCGAGGGCTAGTAAGGGTGGCGAGTTAGAGCCGGGGCGCAGATTGCCCTCCATGGCGGCCGACGAACATTCAAGCAGCTCTCAGCTCTGGTTTGGACACGGACTGATTGACGTCAATTGTCGCAGAAAGGGAGTTCGTGAGCGCGCGGCCAAGACGTTGGGTTCGCAAGATTCGCAGATCAAGATGAAAGTACCACAGCAAAAAAGCCAATAGAACTACAGTGGGGGAGCAAAAAAAAAGGTACAATCGTGAATTCGCACCAAAAAACGCGAAAACTCACACTTTTCAATTCCAACTTACTCGAAATTCTAAGTGATAATAAATTATTAAAAAATCTTTATATATAGTACTTAATAAATCATTTCTTTTATTTTAAGTAAAAATTAATTTACTATAATAGAACATGATTTATAGTATGTTTTAATAATAGTAAAAATGAAAATTTTATATATTATATTTAATAATAGAATTTAAAGCTTTAAAAGGAAAAAAGAAAGAAATTCTTAAAGTATTTATATAAAATAATCATTTCTCTATTTAGAATTATATATAAGTAATATATAAGTTGTTATGTTGATTTTCTAGATTTTTTTAGAAATATAGTATTCTGTGAGTGGTTTTTCAAATTGTACCGTTTTTTTTGCTCGGTCACTGTATGCCCCGCCACCGAAGGAAGACAATGAATGGCCAGCACTCGCGAGTGAAACAATTCTAACAATGCTTTGTCGGCCAATAATAAGAAACGTGTGGTCATGGGCAGACTTGTTCAGAGAGGGAGGTGTACAGGGTCAGATCTGAGCCATGCAAATGTTGTCATTAGGTAAAGGTGACGATGACTTTTATTGTTCAAATCGCGAGTCGGTGGAACGATATATGTACGTCTAAGTAGCACTGACCCTTGCGCTACGGTACCACGACCGTCAAAGTGGCTCCACCGTGATGCGTTAAACCTGCAGCAAAGAAAGGCCATATTTCTGCCCATATCTCAGGTACCGTGATAAGCATCCCCTTCAAGTTTCTCTTGACCCTTCTATACACTGCAAATTGTGTGCGGATAAGCAAGCGCTGCAATTTTCTTACTTATTTTCAGTTTTAACAAACGGAAAGAAGAAGAGAAAAAAAGACCACACTAGGGTCAGACCAGTCACTATATTCCCTTGTACTTAAGTGAATACAGTAGGAACATCTACCATCCGAAGAGCTTAGAATCATGTGATACAATCTAGCAGCTCGTGCTACTACCACGTAAAGGCGCTTAAGTAAGGAAGGATAAGCCTGAGATAAAACCATGTACGGCGTCCTAAACTATATTGCGATTTGCCATGATCGTAGTGCTTTATCAACAAGTCACGGATCTGCCGACGAGTGTAGTCTGAAGCAGCCGAGTCTAGCCCCTTCAGCTACATGCAAATGCCCAATGCAACGAGATCCACGCTTTCAGCTCCAAGCTTGCGACGATGAATGATCCAAGACGGCCGGACTGGGCGGTTATCACCACCCACTTACTTGCATTAGATGCCCGATATCGAGGCCAACACTCAATAGCCTGAGTACTATATACGCATGCTACTATGTATTTTTAAAAAAGATATTATTACATACATTGAACCCAAACGAAGAGACCTCATTTGACGCGCGGGTGCCAAATGATAATACACAAAGAAAACATTTCATTTCTATCCACCACTGTTCGACCTCGTCCCTACCCGCATATCGTTGTTGCGTCTGGCCGCAGCCTCGTCTAGGCCCGCGTGACCTGTAACTGAAAAGAAGTTCCAAAGTATCTTGGGTATAAATGAGTACCGTGTATGTCCCAAGCGTAGCGCTCGTCGACTCGGAATGTCTACACCGCTGAATAAGGAACTTTGATGATGTTTAATGCTATGTTGATCAGCTTCTGAAATGCAGGCGCAACCCTGTGTTCTTCGAAAGTCAGACTCTTAACGCCGTGTTCGCTTGCTTAATGTGTAGTTAACGTAATCCAATGACGCTCATCTCCAGTGTCCACACCCTCCGAATCCACACTTTAAGAGGCCCTTCTACCCCCTCGACATTCTGCAGCTCGACTCCTTCCCACCAGCAACGACGAGCAGGTTTCCGCCAGAAGAGAAGCAGCTTCTGCGCCATTCCTACGGCATTGTTGCCCATCTCATTGCCACGAATATCGCTGCGGAGGCGAGCGAGCGCCAGGCTGCAAACTACCGCCTTATTGGGTTCACCAGCACGATGGCCCCATCGATCGTCGTGGTTGAAGCCGCTTAATTTCCATGTTAGCTAGGTGGCGAACCAAAAGAGGACTGTGTCACTTACCCAGCGGTCAACATTTCGATCAAATGAGCCTCGGTGGTTCCTGGCTCGTCGCTCCGCTTCAATCCCGAGAAAATGCCGTCTTGTTGCAATAAAGCCCTAGACGCGGCGCGTTTGACCTCAATCATATCTGCCTGGTTAATGTCTGGCCTTGGAGGAATAGCATAGAAGTCGAGGTCTTCTCTCAACACAATGATTCCCGCTCGCTTACTACCATCTTCACCACGCCCAGCAAGGGAGTCAATGGGAACAACGCCTCCATCAGGCGAGGCAGTGGGTGAGGATTCATTGGGTATGGATTGGGCCACAGTGCGGAAAAACTCGAGCATGTATTGCAGGGAGGCAGGATCATACTGAGAGGTGAGGTCAGTGAAATGAATATTTATATTGGATATCAGGTTGCGGATAGTGGAGGAGTGGGTGAGAGGGGTATTAATTAGGCTAGGCGCGATCGCGCAGCTAATGTTTGGAGCATCTTGAGTGGCTTGAGAAAGAGGGCTGTCTCTGTGGGTACTGACATCGACCTGGACGGCATCACCGTCGGAAAAGCCGCCCATATGGCCCTCTGGGAAGAGGCCATTGGGGAATAGAGATAAGAGGACAAATTCAGGCAGTGTTAACAGTTCGTCTCTCGAAAGAACGAAGCGTGTACCCCTATTCAAAAGGGGTATCAGCAAAGGTGTCCAATAAATTACAATTCTGCATTGTCCTACCTCAGGTCCATCGTGATTGTTTCATCGGCGCCGACATCTACACAAGCTTATCAATAGCCGCTCTGCCATATATCCCTTTGGTGGTGACTTACCTCCAATGGAATTGATCGGAGGTCCTCCTTGTTGGACCTGAGTAATGATACTCGATGCCCCTCCGGCGGCCGCCATTAGATATGTGAAAGAGAGGAGTGGGCTATAACCTTCGGAGTAGGCAGGAGGAGGCTCGCTCGAATCGTCAGCCTTTTGACCCGAAGATTCGCCTTTGACGTCTTGTGGAAGCGCTCGCTTGGTCTCAGCGACTGTATCTTGGAATGAGGTGGATGGCTCAAAAGGATGATCAGAAGAACTTGAGGCAACCGGTGCGTAGGCTGGAGCTGCTGTAACGGAAGATGCTCCGGTTTCCGAGAAGGCGGTGGAGACGGCGGTGGGGAGCTTGAAGTGGTCGTCGGCGAGGTCCTCAGCCGAAGCGTAAGCGTAGAGACTTGAAAAGGGAGGCGGAGGCGGCGCTGGTCGTGAGAGGGAGGTAGAAGCCGATGCCTCAGAGCTGGCGTAGGGGTACTGGGGCGGCGGAGACAGTGCCCGATGATTCTGGTCGATTTCGTCGCCGTCGCCGTTTTCGTTGTCAGATTCGTTGCTATGCTGGCTGTCGTCGTTGGCTTTACAGTTATATGCAAGGTTCGCGTGTTCAACGGCAGTCTGCGGAAGCCCAGCGAACACGGACTCTCCGTGACTTTCTTCCTGCGACTCGGACAACGTGGCGACGGTTTGGAATTCTGCGTAGGCAAAGAGCAGGGTTGGAGCAAAAGGTCGGGGTGCGGTGTGCGGTCACAAATGGAGGATGGCGTCCGTGTTTGGTAGTTTGATTACAGAGAGCGACGCTGCGGTGGGGGTCATAAATTGGATGTGATGTTGAACATGGGATAGGTAGTGTGTCCTGGTATTGGCAATCTTCTGGACTGAGACGGCTGGCCGTACCAATTCGACACAAGCGCTGGCAATGGGCCGGGTGAGCGTCGGAGCGATGCGATCAACGACTACGTCAAAGACGAATCACCACAGCATCAGAGGACCTCGGTTAGGCTCGATGCTCAGGATTGAAACTGAAGCTGGCAGATAGATGTGGTGATTCCAACAAAAGGACGACGGTGCGGCGTTGGGAGTACCTTCAGTTACCTACTCCTTACAATTGGTACCTGGCTGCGCTGACGCGAGGGCTGCCAACTGCACGTCTGTAGCGGGCCAGGACTGCCAGGTAGTTGCCCCATGCAACTATTTCCACAGCTCTTAGTGGACCGCTAGCCGCCCATACTATGTACCCATGCGGCTTAGGGTGGTACACTACAGTCCCTCCCTCATCTCTCCTTCGTCTCCTATCACGCCAAGGTATAACCAAGTTGGTTGGGACACGATTTCAAAGGTTAGCCAACGACGATATCACTAACAATTTACAAGATAACTCGCTCGTGAAGCTACATACATAGGTCGACTGCGATTTCAAGCAGCACTTTACTCGGTTGGCTGCCTAGGCGTACAGATGACGCCCGAGGTTTAGGAGAGCTGGTCCCTCATTACAAGTTGGCCACGAAAGACAGTATGAAGAGTCAAGATAGTTATCGAGTAAAACAGAAAAGTCAATTGTTTGAGACCTGACTTTCTTTGAAATGCCACACCATATTATACTTCCTCGGTACAAGCCCCTCTAATTAATACAAGAATAAGCAAAAAAGGAGTCCAGCCTCTTGTACCCGATGATTTACACAGCCACAGAGTGTTGTCTTTCACCACTACCGTTGAACGCAACAACATCTCATTTCTCTTTCTAATGTTTGCACTTGCCGTGCTTGATAACGTTGTGCGTGGATCCCGAACAATGGATTGTGGAATCGTGCAGCGTGCAGCTTGTTACGAAATCGGTCTCCGTGAACAGAGAATGCGGTTTGTTATTCTTGTCGCAGTCGCCGAGGTGCACTACGACGCCCAATGAAGTCAGCTATCATTTCGTACCAAGTATAATCTTTCATCATGGGTTCGAGTGCCCAGAAAGAGTGCTGGGGGGGAATAGGACCAGCTCGGTAGTGCTGAATGTGCTCAAAGTGAGATTGAATTAATGAAATAGGCATCACTAACATAGTCCGTCGTAGCCGGGAAGCTCGAAGTCAATATTACATGGCGAGTCGGTGAGAGGATCAATGACTACAGAAGGCGGGCAAGCGTTCTCGCCCTCCACCCAGACGACCCAGTGGTTCGCTTGGTCTCCGTCCTGAAGCTGTTGCCCATAGCCCACGTTGGGAACGCCGCTCACTCCAATCTTACCATCGGGTCGAGGGAGGGCGAGGCCTGTAGAGACGATGGCACTCCAAAGAGTGATGGCAGTATAGATGGAATGCATAGTGAGTAAATAAATGAAGGAAATCAATAAGAGCAGACGAATTACAATGTCCGACCTGTTCTCTGTCAGTATAATCAGGGTAGAGAGTGGCTTAAAATATTGGTTCGAAATAGACGCCTTGGCTTATTGTTATAAGATTAGAAGTGTGCAAAAGGGTTGTTCTGCGTTATCCTAGCTACCTATCGTCATGTCCGGGCTTGCGTCAGAACTGTACGTCCGGTGCCTCGAGACTGACGTTGGCATCTATCAAACCATGAACATCTATAAAGACAAGCTGTGTAAACACATGGTGATACTTCGTTCGATGGTGAGACTAGGTTCTGGTCCACCTACGTGTGCATCCATAGCCCCCGCCGGTAGCAACCTAATAGCTGAGAAATTCGCCTATCAGCCATACCGGTCTTGGAGTGCTGCGTCCACAGATCGCATATACTCGTAGGATCACCAGTTTGGGCGTAGTGCAATCGCCTCTACGGGCTGATATTCTTGTTGAGCTGCAGATAGGCATTGCTTCTGCAGAAAGAGCGGGCATCCCAAGCAGATCAACAGCTTCATATGGCCTCAGACACACGGAGTTTCAAGAATGAGGAATAAACTTCCTTCGCCAGGTAATAAAATCAAGTACTCGTTCCTAAACAGGTCAGTATATGATCAAAAACTTGTAATGACCCATGCGAAAACAGGAGACAGAAGTGATATTAAGTTCTAGCTTGTGGAAATAGTCTCTCTTTTCCCTGAAAATGAACGGGGGATGTCGCTCGGAAATGATCTAAAAGGTTTATTATCATTTGTGCCTGCTTTAGAACATCATAAAAACTGTTTTTATCTTGTCAAGCGCAAAGCTACGCGGCGGAGGCAAAAGCTAGATTCTTCCTGCTCACCGAAGTCTTGCGCCGGAGCCTCTCATGGGCGCTCCTGGTTCTCAGCCAGTACATGGTGCGGCTGAATGTGTTTATTCCTCCATGGTCTTGACGCATTCCCATTCGCCTCTAAGATTCTCCTTCCACAGAGAAACTTTGTTGTCGCCGCCGCTAACAGCCAGCACGTTACCACTCAGACTCCAACTAACCCGCCAGACGATAGCGTCAAAGTTCAATACCTTGCATGACCATTGACCTTGGGTAGCATTATCACTCGTCCAAATGCGTACCGTCTTATCTTGTGAAGCCGATGCGATGTAGCTCTTCTGCAGTACCGTGGGGCTCCATGCCACATCACGCACCCAATCCGTGTGGCCAATTAACGGCTCCCTCTCCTGCTTGTAGCTCTGCGTAGCTGGGTCATAGGCCCAGAGTCTCAAAGCATTATCACAGCCGCCTGTGACGAAGCGACGCTGGCCCATAGCGCCTGGGGTTGGTGAACCTGACGAAACAATGCTACCAGGCGCTGTTGCAGGGGCCCATGAAACAGAGTTTACACCAAGTCCATGCGCCGGGAAAATAACGTGGGAGAAATTGTTGTCTTTAAACTCGAGAACCGACACAGAGCCATCGGAGGAAGCGCAGGCAAGGAGACAGCCCGATTCGTGAGGAGACCAAGACACCATATTTACGGAAGCTTTGTGCAGGGGGTGCTCGAAAATCCGCTGCCACTGATTTGATTGCTCGCGCCAGATGAAAACCTTGCCGTCGTAGCCAGCCGAGGCGAGGATGTTTCCGTATTTTGGGTGCGCCCAAGACACACACCATACTGCGCCTTCATGACTGCAACAATGCTCGGTTAGCACTTCGATCCTCAGGGCTCACGGATAGCACCAATATAGCACTCATACCCTTTCAGTGTCTCAATTAACCGTTGCGATTCGCCCTCAATCTCGAATATCTTGATCGTCTTATCGGAGGAGCATGTCGCGAGCCGTCTTCCGTAGTAGTCGAGGACTGCATCGTGCTGGTCAAGGTCAGTCGTAGTGGTGGATCGTATCCGCGGATTGGCCACAAGGGGACGTTGAGTCGCAAATCGCAGCTGGTCGATGAGAGCGCAAGGCACGACCGGGTATCAAGAAAGGGTTCTGACGTACAATCATCTCATCATGTCCGGAATTTGATATTACTTGCGCCTATAGTCCGGGTTAGCTAGCTCCTCTTCACGATACGATACTGCCAAGCCTGTCAACCTGTTATTTACCATTTTGAATTGGACACCGTGTGGAACAGAAAAACTTGGGCAGGAAGGGAGATCAGATAAATATTGGGCTGGTCGATGAGAAGCCAGCCAAGTTCTTGTTGTTCGTCTATGAGACAGAAAGATAGCTGTCCATTTCAAGGTGTTTAGCTGGCCTTGTGCTAGGTAGGTCGAGCTGCCTCACCTTACAGCGCTGCTGCCACCTTACGTCTACCTCTATGGCGTAGGTACCTAGGTATCGACATAGATCCATCAAATAAAGTGGGTATATTCTTATCTTATCGAAGCACCCATCCACCCTTCAGGATGGCGGCTGTCAACGGCCCATTATTGCAGCTGGCACGTCTTCCCCAGCCAGTTCGACACGAATCAAGACAGACCAGTCGACTCGGGCAGGCGAAATGGGTGGGCCTAGGTAGTGCTCATTCCGGTTAGCCTGGCAGCTTCCCGAGGACGTGGATTGAGCCGCAGTTTCCCATTGTACCGAGGCAGGCCAACGTCTTGTGATGGCGACGTCAGCCTGAGTCGTCACGGACTGCGTGTTCGCAGCAATGAATTTCCACCAAACAACTGAACTGTATTATAGATGGCTTCTATTCTAGTTACCTACCTAGCTTATTCACATGCACGTACCTAAATGTGGCCAGTTCACCTGATTATATATCTGCCCTAGTTTGTTTGCTCAAGCGGACGAGACGGACAGACAACGAGCGACCTGACCTAGCTGTGGCTTTCATCCGTATCTATCCGTGCCTCATTCTATCGCCGTGGTACCCAACCAAAAGAAAAACACAACATCGTTATCACCAGCAACCAGCCTCCCCCTATATAACTTAATTCTCTTCTCTCCGCTGTGACTATTTCGGCAGCTGTGCAACCACTTAGTCTCGCCGAGAACTGAGATTCTGAGGTGATACTTGTAACTGGTGGTCAGAGGAAGAAGCTGACCAGACAAAGCGGTACAAAGCTTTCTTCCACCGTCGAGTTTTCAGGCGATATCTCAGCAAGGGTCTCCTCCAGATTCATCTCTCGCCATGGCGGATGGTTCGTGTGGCCCATCGAACGCCTTCAAGGGCTTAGCTCGTCATATTGAGCAAGACCGTTCTCATCAACAAGATCGTGTTGCTCCAGGACCGCAACATCAGGCACAGGTGTGTTTTTTACCTTTATCTTCACTACAATTTAATTTTAGAATTAACACTCACATCGCAATAGGGTTTCCGTTCTGCGCCTCTAAACACCAGCATACCAGACCAGTTTGGGGCTTTTCAGCAACAAAATGCGGCATTGCCCCAGCATCCGCCAGTAGGGTGGAGTGGTCATGCCCACTCTGCCCAAATGGCCACTTTCTTTCCACAACAGTCAACCCAGCAACCTCTGAATATCGCCACAAATGCAGGTGCTAGTTGGGTCAGCGATTTTGAGCGCATGAGTTTTGCCAGTGCTCCATCTAACCCAATCAACGCTCATCCTACCATTGGTAGGATGATGGGACAACTCGGCACCGCAGGCCCTATGCATTATCATTCAACCTCGTTTCACCAGGCTTTGACACCTGTGCCGCCTCCTAGCATGGGTCTCCATCCCATCAATCCCCAACCGCAGGTCTTTCAGAACCGTAACGGTATGCAAGATCCTAAAGCTACTAGTTGCTAGCCGCGAAACTCTTATTAACGACAAAACTAACCTGTGTGTTACAGAAAGTGCCCTCCCTGCTCTTGACGCTCTGGACACTCAAACAGAAGCCATGCTCGAGAAAGAATTTGTGGAAGCAATGGACGAATGGATGCGTCAAAATGGGCCAGGCGCCCTCGAAGATGAACTGGGTGTACAAGAGAGTGAAAACCTGGCGGCTGATCTCTATGCTACCTCCACTCCATCTGTAGATACAACCCAAGCCCATGAGAGTACCGGGGAAGACTCGCCAGAGAACCGAGACGAGTTGGCTCGCGCCGCGCAACAGCTTGTCGATGCAGTCGCTAACAATAACTCTGAGAAGTTCAAAAACTCAGACTTTCTGGCGCTAATGCGTCGCATTGCATCCCAAGAACTAGTCGTCCAGGACGGTGATTTGGTGGAAACACATCCTAACAATAACTCGGAATCCCAGGCAACTACCGCAGCTATGGCTACAAATCGAGGTCCAAAAATGGTGTCCGAATAGGATTTACGAGATATAAATTGGCCTCTTTCCCCACCTTATGAAAGCAGCCAGACCAAACTAGATGAAGACCTGAAGAAAAGAGAATGTTTGCCATAAGGCACCCCACAAGTACTCTTACGAGTATCTTAATACCGGAATTTCTCGAGGTAGCCATCTAGCACTCTCAGATATTCGAATGAGAGGGCTAAAAATACCATGACTATTCCCAAATAACCAGCGTTACATGCGTAATGGAACAATAAGTGTACTATTAGTTCAGCATATTCTAAAGTAGTCTCGAATTTTTTTTCATCGAGCCAGACATCGTTAGCGAAACAATACTATCCGAAGCGAGGGAAGTGGCGAGAATGCCGCGGTATCAATATAGGCATCAAATCATAGTTTGTAGCCATCCGTATGTGATATTGAACACGCCCTGGTACTGAACGTATTAGATCTTAGTAGTCTATCTGGTCAAGTGTACGATAGCACTCAGCAATTGTAAATTCTCCGTAACGTACTCGAAACAAACATGGACAGCGGAGTTGAACATCAATTTTGCTTATTGGGTGACATCGATACATCTTCAGTTAAGAGTGCAGAAAGCGGTACAGAGCCTAACCTATGGGTTAAGGGAGGAAATACTGAGAAGGCGCGTATTTCAAGAGGGTCGCTCATGGACAGCGTGAAGTTGGCTTTATGGGTTAGTACTAAGTCTCGATCCAGAGTACGAAGCGAGAACGCTCGGTAACCTCATTATGCCTCGCTAGATCGTACCAACTCGGTCATGTTCTGCTCTTGATTTGTTCAGGTTGTACGGGCGAGTGCTGGGTATCTCATATCAGGTTTGCTGCTACGCACATTGCCTCCTTGCGTGATGCGGTACGTCAATCAAGGAAATTTTCGTGACAAGTTTCATGTCTAGACTCGTTGACTAGGATATTGAATGAGGTCATCGGCCGTTCAGTAGCTAAGAACCGCATCGGGGATAACATACTTGGAATAAGATGAGCGTTATTCCGGTAGATACAAGATCATACATAAGTCCTAATCTTTTCGGAAACCAATGCTTTCGTTGGGTTGTCTCGTTATCTGTGAAGGTCTGAAGTTTATTCTGCTCCTCACAAATATCATGACATGGGCTAGAGCATGATGTCGATGAAAATGACCTGATTAAGATGTGTTTACTTCCGCAAGCTGTAGGTAAGCTGAGGCGTCACTTCATCCCACGGTTGAAGCCATACCGCAAGAGATACGAGGAGGAATTTCTCGCCGAAATGCCTAGTTCAAAGTTACATAGTGACCACTATGCTAAGGATATGTGAATTCAATTCACCTATTATAGTAAGTTCATAAATGTATACCTCTAATGGGCCACTGTCCTTCGGGCCTTTCTCTTATATCAAGTTCACTCCTAATCGGGGAAGTTTGCATATCATAGTACCCCGATCGCTCTTTTCATGCTGGGACAGACAATACATGACGGGTCGCAAGAAATAGAGCCTTGTCATATATTTAGATTGAATGAACATAATTTGCCCTCTCGATCGGCACTTCAGACCTTAGACCAACACGCTTCCATCTCAAAGCTTGCTCACCATTCGTACCCTGGTAAATGAGTCATGATGTTATTTCAAGGGCACCATACACGACATCTCACTCGAAGGTGAAACGACTACGATCTCAGGGACCTGAAGAATGGATGATGGAGCGTTTGATACGATCTGAGCGTACACGCAGGGCGGTCTCATACTACGAGACTAAATAAAGTTGGGCTAATTACTCATCTTATGGTGTTGAAGGTAAGCTGTTCAGTGCTCTTCTTGGGTTAAAAACTTTATGGCTTGAAGATATCGAGATAATTTGCCTGCTAGAGGCGAACCAACACCACCTACTACGAGGCAGCCAATCATCCTCCCGGCAGAAGAACAGACCAAAACCACGTTGCCTTTGAAGATAAATACCTGTATACACGTTACTGGCCAGATCTCTACCAGCAGTGCAGGCTCGGTATGAAATACTACCTATGCTGTTCGGTCGCCCTGTGGCATGCGACCAAGTAGACAATTAGTAAGCCCGACATACAGCAGCCATTCTCATAGGCCACGTAGTTATCCAATCCGAAAGCGATGAGTATCTCACATAACCAACCTAAAGTACTTAGCACTGCGGCACATTAATCACAAGCATATCACCCAGCCAGTCAAGACAGAGAAAGGGGCAAAAGGGACCTGAGGCTTAGACTTACTGTTGCGGACGGGTATCGCCGTGATTGATTGATTGATTGTGTGTGCGCCTTGTGGTCTACCTAGCGAAAGCCGGATAGTTGAACGAAAGCGCGCATAAACTAGCCGTCAACGGCTCAGGAGGACCAATGCACGGGCAAGTCCCACAAAGCACTTTACCAAACGATAATTTTTCAGCCCCCAACTATTTTGAATTTCCGCACAGCGAGTTTCTCGTTTATTGTCGGGATTACCTATGGAGTCTAAGAGTTAGGTGCTTGAGTAGGCATCTGTAGCGGATAAACGAGAAGATCACAGATTCACACCAGGCGATGGCTGTAGTCACAGATATTTAGTACTACGTATAGTACGGTATTCGAACTGAAGTATATCGGAATCAAGTTGCTACCAATAGGTAGGGCTGAATCCTTCATAAAGACCTGCTATTCCGAGCTTCTGTCCGAGTTTCGGATATAAATTAATCACTCCCAGGTGTACTGCCAGGTCTACTCAGTCGAGTGTAATCAAGAGAGGTATTTCATTTTTATTTTTGCTTCATCGTCTCACATACCGTGTTTAGAGCATTTAATCGAGATCCAAGAGTGCTATTTTAAGGATGGACGTCTTTCACACAATCTCTTGCTGAATAATGTGGTTTTCTCCGGGCTATCACCGGAGGTTGGGATTACACGGACTGATCTCGTCGAGGTTGCACACTGCCGTACAGAGTACAGCATCTGTCATTCTATCTAAAGTACAGTACCTACACGACTGTTAACCTCGTACTACATTGCTTAATGAGCAAGATCAAGGTCCGGTTCGCGAACAAGTGCGCCGCGCGCCCTTCTGTCTTTTGTCTACGCATAGTGTCGGTAACCTATTCTATGACATCCCTGATTCATGTTGTGCCCACATCTATCTTACTTGCAGTAGCGTCCCTAGTGTGCGCTCCAAGAGTGTTCTGCGCATACGCTATAGCATGCTACTGCGCTGCAATGTAAAAGTGCGTAGGTAAGTCCCAATAGTATCGTCCATTCCTCGACAGATACATGGACATGCCTGTGAGTATTGGAGCAATGGATACAAGCCCATCACAACTCGAGCACAGTGGGCAAATACTTACTTAGGCAGCGGAGCGCAGTGAATCAGTTTTGGCCGGAACTGGGATAGGGTGCAGGCCCGGCGTGGGAGGGAAGCGAGTGTGCAGGGAGGGTGAGACGCGATGGAACGCAGCGTCGGTAACGATGAGTCACAGCTGCCCCCCCGTCCCATCGCCTATCCCCATCGCGGCGACGACCCGGCAAGGGGAACGAGAGACAAGGACGCGAAATACGAGTCGAATTGGTCGATCTCGTTGCTCCAATGTCCAATCTTACTTGCGTGGAATATACGACAAGTACGGGTCTGTACGGGGTTGGAATCTGAGCACGCGGAGATGCGAGGCCGAGGGCTTGGATTGGGGAATGGATGGATGGATACCCCCAGGCAGGGCAGGGAAATTGATTACCTGCGTCGAGAAAAAGCTCGCAATGCAATTCTCGCGCAATTCGTAGCGTGCGTAGCCACGATATATGGATACCTGGCGCAAGGAGGCAGCAATCTCACCAATACTATAGTACCTACAGTATACTAGTAGGTAGTAGGTACTGCCCTGACTGTTGGCTGCGATGCGTCGCCTTATGAGATGTGGTGGTGGAATGGCTTGATATCTGCTCGATGCCACCAATTACACTACATACACTACGCTACAGACATCCAATGTCCCCGACTAGATCTACAGATATCCGTCCCCCGATTCTACTATGTCCAACCAAAGCGCCAGGGGGTATTAGATCGCCATGACCGGTTTACCTACTTACAGCTTCCACTTTCAAGCATGTACCTATCGTCATCTGCTTATTAATGCCATCCATCCCTCATCGTACTCATGATAATAGGTAATATGCTGTATCTTAAGGATAACCTGATATCGAAGGCTGTTAAAGTACGTACATGTAAATCCTAGTTTAAACCTGCTAAGAGCTATTTCCTCCAGGACTTACTTATACACCTCTGTTTGTTTGATCCTGTAAATATGTATGTATGTGCATACATATAAGTAAGTGTCGATATTTCGCATTCTGTAAGTTGGCAGCACACGAGTACGAAAAGCCAACCCGCGCAGACTACTTCCCAATTCAGCTGGCCGATAGCCGTCCAATAGCCGTCCAATCAAGACACCGAAGGCTACCTACTGCATTGTACTGTAAGTACTTAAGAATGCCTAGCTGTGAGATGCAGGATGCTAAGAACAAGACTAAGAATATGGCAGCCCATCATGAGCTGTGTACTGTATGTACTACCCGTTGGGACTCCACTTCCGTCGCCAACCTTTTGACTTCCAGTAGAAGGGTTGGGGTCTTTGACTTGAAAATGACCGGTTGACTTAATAAAACAGGGGTATTTCTATTTAGGTACAATCCCCACTAAGATATAAATAGCTCTGCTTAAACCAATTCCACTTTATATAACGATTAAAAAAACTTAAATATAGTTAAGAATTTAATTAGGCAACTACTTTTTAGCCCACTTACCCCACCTACTTCTATACCTTTAACACCTTTAACACCTTTACTTTTAATGCCTTTACCTTTAACTTTAACACCTTTAACACCTTTACTTTTAATGCCTTTACCTTTAACTTTAATACCTTTAACACTTTTAATACCTTCTTTTTCAATTGTTAATGTTACTTAAGGCGGTAAGTATATTAACTATCGATTTAAAATTATTAAAATCCTCCTATACGTTTTTATTCTTGTTAAAATCGTTAATAACAGCTTAAAAGGCCTCTTTTTAAAGGTATTGCTTTATTGTAGCCTTTTAAAACCTTTTTTTAACCGTTACAATAGTTAATTTTATATACGTTTTAGCTATTTAAATAATTTTTATTAAATTAAGTAGTAATATTAATATATATAAAGTAAAACCTTTAAAATTAACTATATCTTTTATTTTTATTCCATTATTTAACTGTTATTTTTTATTCTATAAATAAATATAAATCTTTTATTAATATTAATAAAATATTTTTAACCTTAAAAAATCTTTATATAGGTTATAATAGTATTTAAAAGTTAATCTTCCCTTTTTTTACTGGTTTAGATTTAATTATACCTATATTTCTATTATTTATTTCTATATATAAATTAATTTATTCTTATATATTTTATATTATAATTGAATCTTTTTAACCTTAATTAATGCTTTCCGTTAATTATTGTTGTTTGCTGTATAAAGCTATACATTTTTAACTTTTATAGGGCTATACCTAATAATAATTTAAATCTTTTTATACTTTATTTTATAAGTTAAAACTACTTTATAAAATTAATAATTTTCTTCCTTTTCCTTTAAACTATTAATTATAAATATAATAATAATATTAAAGTAATATTGAATTATTTATAAAATAAAAGGTATAAAGGGTATTTAATTAATTTAATAAGCTTTTAAATAAAGTTTAATATATTTATATACTTTTTAAAGTACTAATATATTTATAATTATTAAACTTTATATTAGTTTATTTAAGTTTACCTATTTTACCCCTTTATTAAATTTAATATATTTAGGTTTATTTTATAAAAATAATTTATTAATAATTAAAGATATTAGATTAATAATTATATTTAATACTTTTTTAGGATTATAAAGTAAAAAATTAATTTTTTCCTATATATTTAATATTATTAAACGTTTAAAAGTCCTTTTATAAACTATTTAAAGGCTAGTTAAAAAATTATCCTTAATATAGTTACCTGTATTATTTTATACTATTAAAAATACCTTTTAGCTTTAATAGGTCTTATATAACTGGAATATTTTAATGTTAAATAATTAAAGCTTATTAAAGGTATATTTTAATAATAGAAATATAATTATTTTAGCTTTTTCTGTTTATTTAATAAATTTAACTATTTTATAGTTTTTATAATTATTTAATAATAATAGCCTTTTTTACCTTAGATTAATAAGTAAAGTAATATTATTAAAGTAATTAAACTACTTAAAGGTTATAAAGTTATTATTTTAATTATTTTTAATAGGTAAATAATAGTATTATCTTTAAAATTATTTATATTAAATTTTTTAGGAACTTTAATAATTAAAAGAATAATTTAACTAAAAATAATATTATTATTTATAAATATATATTTAATAATAATAATAAAAATCCGTATTTTTAAATTTATAAGCTATAGGTTTTTAATTTTACAATAGGTTTAAATAATAATACCTTTAATAATATTAACTTAAAAACTAATTTTATTTATATTATATAAAAATTTAACTATAATATTATTATTTTTATAATAAATATTAAAAGCTTTATATTATACTTTTAAATTATTATAATTATTAATTAACCTTTTTTATAATAATTATAGCTTTACCTTTACCTTATAAAATAGGTTATAATTATAAATAAAATAATAATAAACCTATTAATATTAAATTTAATAAAGTTTTTAACCTTCTTTTATTCCAATTTTTAACAATTTATTAATTATATATTATAACTAATATAAACTTATATATATGCTTTAAAGGATTAATTATTATAATATTAATTATAAAGCTATTTTTAAAGCTTTATTTAACATTATATTATTGTTGCTATTTTTTTAAAACGAATAGTTATTGAAATAGCAATAGTATATATATTAATAAAGGGTATTAAAGGCTTTTATAGCAGCTTTAAAAATTTTAAACTAGCTTAATTTATATATGTTAATAATTAATTAAACCCTTACTTTAACTATTTTAGGGCTATTTATTAAAGTTAATTATATTTAATTAGCTATTTGTAAAACTATTAATATAGCTATCTTTAAAGGTAAATTTAAATATAAATAGTAATTTAATAATATTTCTTTTAATAAAAGGCTTAATATATTTAACAGCTTTAAATTAGCTTAAGGAAAAAAAGAACTATTTAATTTATATAGTAATAGGATTATTAATAAAATATATATAAAGTTATTTATATTAAAAAATATAAACTTAAAAAATTAACTAACTTAACAGTTTTAATAAGGATGGTAATATTCTTAATATTTAAGTAAAAAGTATAAATATAGTGTATATATATATAAATTAGGAATTACTTCTATTTTGGTGGGGATTATACCAATTTAGAAGTACCGCCAGATTTTATCAAGTCAACCGGTCATTTTCAAGTCAAAGACCCCAACCCTTCTACTGGAAGTCAGAAGGTTGGCGACGGAAGTGGAGTCCCAACGGGTACCATGTAGGTTGGAACAGACTAGGTACCATGCTATATCTCGTAGTACTAGATACCTCCCTCGAGCTGCAAAGGAATTGCCTTGTCCGTCGCAACGGTGTTGTCTCTGTCTCTCCCCCTCTCTCTCTTCGGAATTCTTCCGGTTTTGTTCTAAAAGAGAAGATAATTCGTTCGGAGTCGAGGGAAACAACGCCGAACTCCCTACGATGTTAGAGCCAGTCTCGTGGGATTGAATTCTGCCGGGGCTTTTCTTTCTACCTATCAACGTAGGTAGCGTTTAATTGGATAAATGCCCATGCATAGGTAGGTATCTACATACCTATCTATGTAATGAGGGTACATGTAGATAGCAATACGCAATAGCTACCTACCTGATGTAGAATGGCATTTTGAACTTCTTAGTTGCCTTTTATTTACCTACCTAGTTACGTAGTATATATGTACTTACTTACAGTAAGAGGTGATTAGCCCAAGTGGTTGTGGAAGGGCGATGAGGCAGTGCGGTAAATGTCTCTTTACTTACAGAGACGTCGAGCAGATCGAGGTATCCAGTACCTACATGCCGAGCATTGCCTCGACAGAAAGACAGAAGCACAGCGGGTCTTGCGTGCATGTCGCACTACCTAGCGCAGGTAGACACACTAGACCCGATCGCTCCATGGCGCAGTAGAAGGGTCCCACCCGCTATGACTCACACTTTTGCCAAGGACTGAGCGAGCGTTCCCAATGTCGCCGGCTATCTGTTTCACCCCAGATTCTTTCGTTTCCCACGCTGTTTTGCGCGCAACTGGCTGGCGAGGCTTATTGTTAGTGGCTAGGGCACGACTTGGTCAGATTCCACGCTGAGAAGACACCTCTGCTTCCTCCCCCCCGACACTTCCCCGACGCCCACCTCGTGCTACCCACTCAGCTCCACCCAAGTGCCAATACAGCGCTGCTACTGGCCGAGCCCCCGGTGCCCTGTGCCCTGTTGCCCTGTCCGCTTCGCCCTTCAGTGCCCTCCACTCCCGCTAGGCCGCCGCCGCCTGGCCCTTAGCACCCTCTGTAGTGCTGTGTACTGCCCTGCAGTGCCCTGTAGTGCCCTTGTACGGATCGCACAGTACCTGCGCAGTCCAGGCAGCCCATTAGGTTTCGCTGTCGTCTGCCCCAAAAATTGTTGTTGCCTGAAAAATTACTAAAGCCTGGACACCCGCGCGCACACTCGCACACTTTTCCCTCTCTTTTCTCTCTTTCTTCTTCTTCATCCCTCCCATACATACCACACTTTACAAATGATCACACCAGGCACGCTTCAAAAATGCGCTAAACAACTCCCGACCCCGTCGTCTCGCCTCCCAGCATTCCGCGCTCTCGTAGCTTAACCGCAACCATTCAGTCAAACAGTATAAACAACATAATCCCTACTCAACCTTTCTTTTCAGCTCTTCCTCCCCAGGACGAACTGAACTTTGAAGAAGCTTTCCCCAGCTCTCGCGCAAGTTCTCGCCTCACCGCAACCATTCCCCAACAAGACGTTCCAGTCTTCACCACGGATTCCAATCAGTCATCATGGCTTCCCTCCAGTTCCTCGAGCCCGCCGGCACCATCCGCGCAACACAACTTCCAGAGCCCGCCACAACAGGACTTCGTCTTGTTCGACTCTCCCCAGCCCACGAGAACAACCGTTAATCGCACTGCCTCTTCGCCTGCTACCACAGCAGCAGCTTTTGGATCTCTAAACCACACCAAGACAAGTTCCACTCGTGATTCGAGCACGTCTGCTCTTCAGAATCAACGCATACAACAGATCATCCAAGCACAAGCAACTGGGCATCAGATTTCTCCTTCGGCTTCAACCAACCGGTTTAACTCTATTGCGCAAAACCAAAATCAACAACAGCAACAGTTTTTCGCACACTTATCTCCTCCCTCCGCCGCTGCAGTGAACCAGCACACACGTGGTGCTCGTCCACCCGTCCCCCTTTTCTCACAGGGCATTGGTAATCAGCGGACGCAAGCCACGATGGATCTTCAAGGTAATTTTGCTCCTCTTCCTAGCGATTGCGACCCAAGCTCACTCGTCCCAGACGCGCTCAGTAGTCTTGAAGGCTTCACGGCTTTCGGAGGGGGTGCTTCGGTGCCCACCGCTTTGTCTTCCCCAGCTATCACCGGCTGCGACCTGGACATGAGCTCTGCTTCAAGTTCACACTTGGGCACAGTCTCACCAAACGAACTGCTTATGCGCGATCCGTTTTCAGCCCCGAATTCCACTGCTTTCACTAATTTGACCACTCCTTCCAACTTCGGCGAATCCCCCGGGTTTGAAAGCTACGAGGTTTCGCCTGGCTTCGGTGACTTAGACACTTCCCCCACTGATGACTGGTACTCTCTCTTCCCCGAGAGCGCAACCACTACTCAGCCCACAGTGCCGACCAAGTCACCGATAGAGGCGCCAGTAGAGCTCGAGATTGCTGATACCGACTCTCTTCCTCGCCGCAAATCGGCTAACTCCTCGCCATCGTCCACTAATCACGCCCGACATTCCTCTGTCTCTGGCGTGAATGCTCGACGGCGGGACAGGCCTCTTCCTCCAATTGTTGTCGATGACCCTAGCGATACTGTCGCGATGAAACGGGCGCGGAATACTCTAGCCGCCCGTAAATCGCGAGAGCGCAAGGCGCAGAAATTGGAGGAGCTCGAGGAGCAAATCGCCGAGTTGAAAAAGGAGCGTGATCATTGGAAAAATATAGCTTTGGGTCGACCTAGCGTTCCACGGAGTTAAAATCGTTCTGGTACTTTCTTCACGGATGTTGTGTTGTACATCAGGAACTGGAGGGACAGGCTACCTTAGGCCCTGTCGCCTCAATTCGTTTCTCGGGAGACAATTGTATCAGTCCTTTGCTACAGGCGCTTAGGACCATGACGCCATTGTCGGGGTTATATATAGGCTTTTCTCTCATGTCGTTTCCTATCACATGTTATGGCTCCTCTTGGGGCCGACCACCAAAAGTAGAAGTGTCGGTTTTTCTTCTGTCTATATGAGCATCTGATCGACGAGTCGATGCCACTGAGTTCACCTTATCGGTTTGAACATCAAAATAAACATCTTGAAACCTCTGCAGTGCTCGTTTCTCGTCGTGATACTTAGATGTACCATGGAGATAATTGCTCTCTCTCCAACTAAGAAGCTTGCTGCCATAAGGTGTTGCATAGTCAAGGTGTTTACTTGCTAACGAAAGGATAGAGTGTATGAGCCCGCGATGCTCCAATGTCATTGGAAGCAGTATGTCCTTGAAAGCGTTTTTATGCTGACCTTTGACGGTAACAATGCTGCTTAGGCTATTGATAAAGTAGTCGGGGGGCGTGGCGAGGTCCACTGCCACTAGATGTAATTATTCGTACGACTAGAGATGTAGGTAGGTCCTTGTCTTGCGCCCGTCGTGGTTCGCGTCGTCCAGGTATGAACGAGCAATGGGCTGTGACGGTTTCTCTGGTTCTGACTGCAGGTGGAGTTGACTGCTGATATACTTAGATAGATAGCTCACTGTGTCAATACCTACCTACCCACCCAAGTATTAAACCGTAAACGGGGCACACTCGTTCTACTCGCTTAAGTATACCACCGAGAACCATCTAGATGATCTGCAGATGCGGTTTCTACGTCGGGGCCGGGGTGAAGTTGCCGTTACGCTTAGGTTCACGGCCACATATAGACTGAAACCAAGCATTGGAACGTTTAGTGGTAGGTCTGTCTGGTAGGTCTGTCTGTGTTGTCTGAGTGTCGTCGACCAGACGATAGGCGGAATGAGGTAGTGCGGTCTGAATCAGGTGTATAACGGCACAAGCTTGTGGGAATGGGTACTTGTGGACGCTGTATGTATTTCGGCGAGGTTTTGAAGGCTTCAAATATTATGGAATGCGCTACCTATTAACGGGTGAAGGCAATGGAGGCGCCCCTACTATCAGGTGCAAACCCTAACAGCGTGTATCGCTTCCCTTCCTGGGAATGGCGTAATCGGCCCAAGGGCGAGAAGCCGACTTAACGGCATCCCAAACACCCTTGATCTACTACTCGCGGGAGAGATGCTTGCCCTGAGAAGGCGGTGCGCTGTAGTATACCTGTAAGTAGAGAGTGTCCACGGCTATCCCCAACACGTATTGGTATGGCACCCAACAACCGCATTCAAGCTCGGATTCCGCGATGACTTCTCTCTCCTGGGAAGGGCATGGCGCGAAGTATTGGCGTAGCGCCTAATATACGGCGCCGCTCTCGCATAGGTGGTACGAAACACACTGGATGAGAAAGTTCTCGTCTCAAGCTTCTTCGCTTCCATGCGCCGGGCGGGATGGATGGATAAGGAAACTTTGCGTCACGCTGGATCTGGACGCGAAAAATCATCGTCCTATGCATGTTTGGTCACCAGCCCATACTCACGTTGACATGAAACACACTGGATGAGGAAGTTCTCCTGCTTCATCACCACCCCGTCAACACGCGGAACTTTCCCTTTAGACGAGCGGCATGGGGGCGTCACCTCGATGAGTGCGTGCTATATTCCCCGATGGGAAACAATTACTCGTAGGGGAGAAGTACACCGGATGAGAACATTCTCATCGTAATGTACCTCGTGTGGTATGGACCTTGGTTTATATCCTCGAAGCGGACTGCGGTGGCTCAGAGGTGTTACTCAACAGCAAGCACTAGACTAGCACGTAAGTTGGGGCCTTCGATCACGTACGAGACTTTTGTGAGCGAAATGTGCTTTGGCTCAGAATGGTTGAGTGATCGGAGCCATAGTTGGAGGAGCTGTTCGAGGACAACAACACCAAGCTTGAGGAATACAAACTGTCGGTAGTTTGAACTCCATACACTATATTTGAAGTCTTGTTCGGAGCCGCTGATCGGCCGTACTATACCGTTGTAATCATTGTAGTGCCACGTTGGTCTCGGTGGCATCACACTACATAGTGTAGGGGAAGTGGAGCTTCAGTCAACTTTTGATAGCCTCGAACGCGCAAAGAGCAGCCTTGTTTTGCACCTTTCTGCAACTCAAAGGTATACATTGGATCAAATCCTTTGTAGACGACAAAGGTTAGAGTCAATAATTTTAAACCTGAGTTGGCGCCAAGGAACTCCCATACAGTGGCCTCTGCCTATGGATAGCTCGAAGTCTCATCAAGACCGAGAACAACCTGTGGACGGCTCCGAGTATCCTTAAGACGGAGTACCTATGTGGTCTTATCCGGCGGTGATACCTACGTGACCTTATCTGGTGGTGATACGTACGTGACCTTATCTGGCGGTGATACGTACGTGACCTTATCTGGTGGTGATACGTACGTGACCTTATCTGGTGGTGATGGCAAACCCCATCACAATATACCGATATATGCCACTGTCTCCATTTGATGTTACGTGATAACGGTATTGATAATGGTATGTTGGCAATGTCCAAAGGTTGATGTTCCCCCGTCTAGTTTCAAACGCTGCAATTCTTCAAAATTTTTACTAATTTTTCGGTTCGTCTACCTGCCTACGGCAATGTCTCCCAAGGTTCTGCTATCTCTGGTGCCTTCTCTCTCCCCCTCTATAGAGTATACCGCCGTCCCACCCCCACCCGCCCGAAAGGCTTCAAAGAACGCGGGAGCAAGGAGGCCTTATATACGCGTCGTTCAACCGTGTCTTCCATCGGCAAAAGGGGAGAGGGTAACCGGGAGCTCAAATGGGTTGCTGAACACACCTCACATGGCAGTGTACGTAGCGTAGCTAGTTTTGCGAGCAAACACACAATCGATCGCTCACCTCCAGTGGATTTTTCACGCCCGCCTGTCCCCAGCCACGTCACCTGGGCCAGGGCGATCCCTTAACTCATCTATCCCGCAATAGCTCTGAAAATTCTTTTCGTTCTCCCAATGGCGATGAATATGGTGGATCGCGGCTGAGTCGTAGGATGCCTTTTCACCTAAGACAGTCCACATGTGCGTAATCAGGCGAACCAGCTCATGTGAATCTGGATACGGGTGTAATGTATCATACCATAGAGGCAAACAGCAAACATTTGCATGGGGCCAGTAATACGAAGTTTTATTTTTTCCGTGTATCATCAATCTAATCCTGTCATGACACACACGTAACCTCGTCACATTTGTCTGTCCTTCTAAATGGTTCTTTTCTTATCTAGTGCGCCTTGACCACGCCCGCTTCATCGGCCAGAGCGGCGATCCTCTTCTTGTACTGCTGCACATCGCCAGGGAACTTCCAAACCGTACCATTCTCGCAGACCCAGAGGCTGTTGCACACCGTCTGCAGCATGGTGACATCGTGAGAGACCATGAGCACGCCGCCCTGGAATTCATTGAGGGCCTCGGCAAGGGCGTCCATTGCTTCGATATCAAGATGATTAGACGGCTCGTCGAGGACGAGAATATGCGGCTGCGTCAACGCTAAGCACGCGAACGCGACACGAGATTTTTGACCTCCGGAAAGTACAGCCATCTTTTGCAGACCAGTCGTGCCCGTGATACCGAAAGATCCAAGCTGACGGCGGTACTCCTCGTCGGAGCGGCCCGGGTACTCCTTGGCCATGAAGCTGACGGCACTCATCGTTAAGTCTAGCGCGTCGACGTGATGCTGTGCGAAGAAACCGATGCGCAGTCGCGAGTTCTGCGAGATCAAACCCTGAGTAGCGGACAATTTGCCGATGAGCAGTTTTAAAATCGTGGTCTTACCGGCACCGTTGGGCCCTACGATACCGATTCGAGAGTCTAGTTGGACGTCTAGATCGACATCTTTCAGCAGGATATTGTTGGGGGTGTAACCAAACGTGACGCCAGACATTTGGACAATAGGCGGCGAGAGCTTTTCTACCTCGGGGAACTTGAATTTGACGCTGTATTCTGCCTCCGGTGGCTGAAGGATCGGCATACGTTCCAACTTCTTGATACGCGACTGAGCTTCGGCGGCTTTGCCAGCGTTGTAGCGGAACTTGTCGATGAAAGCCTGCAAGTGCGCACGCTGGGCGACGTTGTTTTCGTACTCCTTCTTCGCAATCTTCTTGCGCTCTTCCCTGGTTGCATAGAAGGACTCGAAATTCGCTCCTCTATAGTAATCCAAACGCTCAGAATGTTGGTGTATGATGTCCGTAGCTACTTCATTTAGGAAGGCTCTGTCGTGAGAGACAACCAGAATTGTGCTAGGATATGTTTGAAGGTAATTAGACAAGAAGGTGATTGAAGGGACATCCAACATGTTTGACGGTTCATCGAGAAGAAGCAAGTCAGGCTCGCAGAAAAGGGCTCTAGCAAGAGCCAGACGCATACGCCAACCACCCGAGAATGTTTTGGTCGCATACTGTTGCCTTTCAGGCGAGAAACCGAGACCAGCGAGGATGCTGGCCGCTCTGGGTTCGGCCTTATCAGATTCCATCTCTGCCAGTTTCGATTGAATATCACCAAGCTTCTGGTCGAGCGCCTCCCTGTCGCGATCCAGTTTAGACGCATCGGCCGAAGTGTCGGCCATAGATGATCTTTTAGCCTCGATCTCCGATAGACGAGTAGTGATATCCTTCGACCGTTGTCAGTAGGTGCGCAATCCATCGGAGTGGCGAGCTACAACGTACCTTTTGGTCCCTTAGCAAAACCTTTCTCCAGACATCAGCGTCCAAGACTGCCTGTAGCGCAGGCGTGTCATCTCCCGTAATCTGCAGGCATGTTAGCATATGGCCAATATTTCTATAGTTGTATAATATCTGGATAGTCTTACCTCTTGTTCGACGTGCAGAATGGAGATATGCGTAGGGATAGGCAGCTCTCTCCTTGATAATGCTCTAAGCAGAGTAGATTTACCCACACCGTTGTTACCGACCAGACCGTAGCGATGGCCATAAGCAAGCGTTAGATCAGTGTCAGTCAAGATCCTCGTACCGCCGATGCTGACATCAGCATTCTCAATCTTGATATCCTTTGTCTTAGCGGCACCACCACCAGGCCCAAGTTGCAACGGGTTGACAGCCATGTAGAACTCCTCGTAAGACTGGGATTCGGGCTGATTGAGAAGCCGAGAGGCCTCGTATTCGACATTCTTGAACTGCTTTTTGCTCTGCTTTGCGGCGATCTTGCGCTCAGCCTTCTCAAGCTTCTTGCGGTCTACCTTGGACTCAACCTTGCGGGTGTTGGCTGACTCAAGGTCGACACTGCCGGTCGCGACGGCCAGCGTCGATGACATGTTCCGCTGGGAGCTGACTTGGAAAGCTTGATCAAGACGCTTCACGGAGGGGCCATGACGCTCTCCGTTGGCGCCATTCGCCTCCTCGTACTTATCGACCCATTTCGCGACAAGTGCACGGATCTTGTCCTGCTGTGCGGCACTCTCAACATTGCCAGCCGCAGAAAGCAGAAGTTCAGTGATGGTAGAGGCAGCCTCAGCTAGAGGTGATAAATCTGAAGCCTCATCCTCGCCGATCCAGGCGGTTGAGGCGTGCCTGAGATACCCCACCGAGTATTCGGAGACGACGGGATCAATATCCGGCAAGGCAGCTCTAATATCGGCCTCCATTTCGGCAGGGTTCCAGGTAAGGATATGAATGTAGGGCGTCTCGAATACAACCTTGCACTATGACTTCGTCGATTGCAGAGACAGTAAAGCAACCTCGGTAAGTTGACCGGTCAGTCCAGTCGCCGCCACCATTGGCTTCGAGAAACTCAAGAGTTGTAGTGGGGCACTCCAAGCGCCGTTGCCCGGCTAAACACCGGACGTAAGTCCCTCTTAGTCAGGTGGTACTACTAAGTATACATTCGCACTGCTCGACCATCTTAAAAGAGCAGGTCAATCATCAGCCGTTGCAATGCGTCTCGATGGAACCTCGCTCTAAATACCTATACATGTACGTAGGTCGGCTTAGAAAAGGTACCGATTATATACCAATGTGGCCTCGGACAGGTATGTCGGTAAGCAGCCATAAGTACCTAGGTTAGGTACTTACATACCTACTTACCTTGAACTTACACGCTCACATATGCCTCTTACGGTCCTGCTCATGAACATTCTATCTCCTAAGCGCTCACGCGATCAGGCTTCTAAAGCGCGCCTATTCGCTACAGTTCAGCCCTTGAAGCCTAGATTGCAGGATAAAGTATCTTATATTGCCAATATGGCTCGAGATGGTCGTCAATCTTATGCCGGCACATTGGGTGCTTCCTATCCCGGCTAATCATGTTCAGGGGATGGCATCTTCATACAATATTTATAACGTCTTGATAATGACATCTTGGCATTATCCATACGATACGCCTAGCGATCTCCAATCCCACTATATCGAGTCAGGTGTCGTATTCGCGTGCTAGCCGTGTAACCCAAGTTCCAGAAACATCTCTTGGGAAGCGCCGGCGGATCGACGTAGGCGCTTGCATACAACATCGGGGTCCTTTAATATCAAGCAGTTTGTCAATGGATTCTTGGGCTCTTGGTCGTTCTTGGAGTTGCTTGAAGCTTTGACCGAGTGCCGTTCTAGCCATATAACTCGCCATGGTGTCTTGGACTCTGGTAAGAATTAGCCTTGGGCTAGCACTGTTGGCAAAGGGGTGGACACAGACAATTGTCGTGAACAATCAGGTTATTTGTTAGTCGTTCCATGACTTCTGTACTAAGCCCGGATCGACGTGTTCTGTATCCAATGGGAGCTGACCTAGAGTCTTGCGAGCTGAAGTGGCCGATGCGTCTAGTGTTGCGCCTGCTTTCGCTTTCTTCAATGCCTCGTCTTCTAATGCGACTGCGGATCTCTTCCCTGGAGAGACCAAGCAACTCACTCATGATGTCTTGGCGAATCTCACCAAGCTGAGCCTGACCAACTCGGTTCTCTTCAGGTTTCCAGACCCTAAGGCTCCGATTCGAACGCCCGAGGACTGCAAAAACTTCCCCGGGGACTCTGCCATGTTCCCAGGGACCGTCACAACTACTGTGTTCAACCTGTTGCTAGGCGGCTCTCTCATACATACTAGGCCATTCGCTTCTCCTTGTTTCCCGGACTTTCAGAATCAGAATAGCACAACATGTGCTGAAATCACTTCGAATTGGTTTAATAACTCTTATATCCAGTAAACTCATAGCCTGACTGATCGTAGTGATGTCTCATGCTAATATGAAAATTAGCACAGATGATCCTACCTCTATCAATGCGATATTGTTTCAGGGCACAACTTGGTCAGTCTGCTAAAGTCCATCATACTCCTCTAAGCGTGTTTCGAACAAGCACAGCCGAAAAGAGGTTTCTACTACATTACTACTATTTAACGTCTATTTGCTTTTTTCTCATCGTTACCAAGAATGACAGTCACTCACGCAGCTTCCAAATAGTGTTCCCAGCGTAGTCAATCCATGGGCTACACACTGTTCTCTCGGATCATACCCGACATTATCCGTCAATGTTAGTACTGTTGCTCAGGTTCAGTTGGCGATCAATCTGGCCAGGAACCTGAATATCCGGCTCGTCATCAAGAATACGGGCCATGATTTCTCAGCAAAGTCAACCGGTGCTGGATCTTGTAAGTAACCACCGTGTCGACGTTTTCCTAGCTTTTTGAGACTTCATATCAAGTTTCTCTATATGACTAATCGCGGCTTTGGAAGTGTCACTCTGGACTCATAATTTGAAAGACATTCGATTTTATGACTCTTATCAAGAGGGATCTTATAAAGGTCCGGCGTTTAAGATGGGATCAGGTGTTCAGGTTTTCGAAGCTTACAGAGCTGCTCGTGAGAAAAATGTCACTATTGTCGGTGGTGAAGGAAGAGTACGCACCAAGTTTTTGTCCATTTGGGCTGCAAGACAGCTGACTGTGTTTGTATAGACAGTTGGCATTACTGGAGGCTATATCCTAGGTGGTGGACACTCCCCTCTGTCAAGCATCTACGGCATGGGTTCGGATCAAGTTTGTTCCATGAGTTTCTGATGCTTGCTTTATAACTGACCTTGTCAGGTTCTTTCTATGGAGGTTGTCACTGCAGACGGCCAGTTCTTAACCGCTAGCGAGACTTCAAATCCAGAGCTGTTCTGGGCTCTTCGCGGGGGCGGAGGATCGACGTTCGGAGTTGTAACCTCTATGGTTATCAAGGCATTCCCTAAGATACCAGTTACTACACTGACTTTCGTCCTATCTACGGGAACGGATGTACTAGTGGATCAATTCTGGCAGACTTTGCGGGCGGTACGCGATCCATATCTTGTTCCTTACCCCTCAAGTTCACGCTCACTACGTGCTGGACTTGTACAGTTTTTTAAGGTTGGTTGTACTTGCTGACTCTCGAATTCGTGTAGTACTTCCAAGACTTCATCAAGTATACTGACGCAGGGATGTATTCATATTTCTCTCTCAATGCCCTGAGTGGGAACTATGTGTGGACCATGCAGCCATGGTTCGGACCAAACCTGACAAAGACCCAGTTTGAAGAGATCACAGCGCCATTCTGGAATGCTACGCGCATTATAGGCGTCGACTTGAAACCGGTGTACAAGGAGTATGACGATTTCTACGAGGCATGGGATGAAAGCTTCCCCCTCGAGTCATGGGGCACGAACCTACAACGCCCGGGGAGTCGGTTATTCCCTAGGGAAAATTGGGAAAATCAAACCAAACTCTCCGAAACTTTTGAAGCAATCCGTTATGTTGTTGATAGTGGCGGCTATGTGCTCGGTTTCAATGTTGCCCCAAATCCCAAGGGAGGATACCCGGATAGTGCAGTCAACCCCGCATGGAGGAAAGCGGTTTTGCATGCGGTTGATGCTGTGACGGTAAGTCATGTTCTGAAAGCTACCCTCCATTCTGAGTCTCTTAAGATATCTGCTCAAGATAGGAAACAATTACTAATTCGTATTGGTGCAGTGGACTCAAGAGTATGTTGATGCTGCGGTGTCCTTGTCCCTCACACAGACATCTTCTATCAAGAAACCCTTCCCGAGCACCCCGAAACACGGAAGGAAGAAGTCATTTGGGCACTCTGTTGACTTCTCTGCGATCTAGCATGTACCCGGAGCAGATCCAGTTCTGGAGCAGTATTCTCACCTACGACTGGAGCCCTCTCTGGCGATACGTCAGTCCGGGTTCTGGCGCTTACCTGTCCGAGTCCGATGTAAGTCATAACTCAAATCATTCTTATCTCATTTGCGCGATTTCATGTCCCGGAGACGACTTGAGTGTCTCCCAAATCATGTTCAAGACGAAATCTTCTAATGCCGGATACTGTAGTATATCGAGCCTGATTTCCAGCATTCGTTCTGGGGCGACAAGTATGAACGCTTATACCAACTGAAGAAAAAGCTCGACCCTTGGGATGTCTTTTACGCACAGAACGCAGTGGGGTCTGAAGACTTTCAGATGTCGGAAAACGTGTTTGGAATTTTGCCGTCGCAGAACAGTAGATTGTGTCGTAGGAAACCAGGTCCGGTAAAGCAATGAAGGGCTGTGAATAATTTGGAGGACATTACTCGGATGTTCTTGTGCTGCTATTCTCTAGTGACGTCTCTACTTACGGTCTAGCAATGCACCGGACTTCCAGCGCAGCTATATTCATTCTGTCATTTTTATATGGATCATGACCTGAGTGCGAACAGACCCTTGCATTTTAAGATGCTTACGAGCGTTGACGACGAGTAGGATGGGAGGTAAAGAAAGGGTATGATTAATCCGAGACCCGTCTAGAGATACCTACCGTGATATGCATATATGGGCTAGGTCAATGTGCCCAGTTGAGCCCAGTCTACATCCATATACCCGTAATATCTCCATATCCGTCCCTTACCTGTGCATGTGAATATATATGGATAAATGCATACAAATTTGAATGCCTGGCGCTCCAGGTTCCACCCCACCGCCACTATCTCAAGCCTGAGCTTCACTGTGAAATTCTCTAATACAGATTTGATAAATGTCTACAGTTGCTGTCACTGTTGTTTTGCGACTATTTATTCTGCACCTGATCGCTATCATACCAAAGGAGCATCTGGAATCACTACAAGGGTTTACGCTCTCCAGTGTGAACTGACGGCATCGCCCATCTAACCTTCTTGAGCCCCGCCATACCGAAGATTGCTCGCCCAAGGTCTTTGGTGGGGCTAAGGGCATCGCGGTCTCTGCACCAGCTGTCTTGGTAACAACCGGAAAGACAATCTATAGGTATAGCAACGCCGTATAAGAGACGTTGAATCGCCATTCCGCCGTATTGGACTTCTCTCGTCAAGTCTCAACATGGCGGCAGCTACAAGGCTCGATACCGATCCGGCCCATATGTGGAAGGAGGACTCGATCGAGGAGCGAGGGTTTGCTGCCGCGCTCATCTGCCTCGAAGGTCATTACCAGCAATCTCCTGCCATGGGCCCCCAGTCAATAGCCAAAGTCATGAGCATAATATCGAAGACACTCGAGAAGACACATACGTACAAGGATGTCAGGTAGGCGTTATCCGTCATCTTGCTCTACGAGTGCCTTCGCAGCTTTGCTTACATGAGTCTCAATATAGAGAAATCTTGTCTAAGAATATCCGTATCTGGTTATGGCTAAGGAGATCCATATCAGCGGCGATATGTGACCTCAATGAAAAGTCACTGGGCGTACGATCAGAACCGTTCGTCGCTACGAGGTTCATTGATATCACAACTCCTGAGGTCACTGCTCTCATCATCAAGAACTATGTGCCGCTCAAGGAAGCATTGCAGATGCTTAATAAGCTGATGCACATTGCTCGCAACTTACTTGTCACAACAAACCCTGAGATACCGCAAAATCTATCGGCAACGATCAACTTTGATCACGAAGTTATCGAGGCCATCTGCCTATGTGTGAATGTACTTAGTAAGGGCATTGACGGTGAGATGCCAGAGGATGATGCTTCGCGAGTAAAGCTGAATGAAATCACTGAACTCTGTACGTGTGCGATGTCACCCATTTTAAAGCAACTCAACTGACTATATTCAAAGATAAGAAGGTGTTGGTGACATCGCTGCAGCAGGCGCATAATTGGATCGCTAAAAACGACCGGAACAAGATGACCTTTTGGTATAGGGTCTTTATCGAGTCTCCCGACGTAGATCTCAACCCAGAGCATGATGACCGGTATGACATAGTCGGATCGACCCTATCCCCGAGATGTTTATATCTCCAGGAGGAGGTCCGCAACTGGATAAAGAGAAACACGGTCATGTGCCGACCGGCAGCGGCCATTTGCCAAGAATACTTGAAGGCAAAAGACCCCGAGAAACCCGATCTTTGGTTTCCACATCAGAACAACCTCGCATTTGTCTATACCAACTCCGATGCTACGGATACTACGCCATCTACTTGGGACCCTAACGCAAAGGAGAAATTCTCTCAAGACTGGCAGTATGGACGTGTATCACACGAGCTAGATATGTGGTGGGAGCAGGCTCGTCTGCCGAATATAACGAACATGGACAGTGCGCAATCCGAGACTGCTGTTCTCAATGATAAGATCAGACAATGCGAAGAGAGCTTGATGTCACGCTATGCACCGCCAGAATCGCCGGATGAGATGGGGGATGTCGTTGAGCATCACACAGACGACGCTACTGTCCAGGAGTGGCCCACTCATCCACCCCAAGATACGCCACATTATGCTCCGGAGTATGACGAATATGAGGAAGAGGCTGATGACGATGATTCCTATGGTGAAGGGCCGATGACTGGTCTTCTCACCGAGGTTCCAAATATCCTAGACCCGAAACAGATAGAGGCACTACATATGATCATAAAATCATGTATACTCGACTCTGCGGGGTCTGGACCAACGCGGCACGGCGAAAGCTTACAACAGGCCCGTTGTCGTATTATGCTCGCTACCGAGTGCGGCAGAAATCTTCTGAGAGAGATGCTCGTGTTTATCGCTGTCTGGGAGAAGGATGAGCAGTCTCTTATCTTCCAGATCAGCAGTCAGATCGTTCAGGCGCTCCATGAGAGCTGTCTCATACATCATACCTGGGAGGCGGTTAGGAGCCCGAAAGACATCATGTCACCCGCCCAGACTGTATTGTTACGTCTGATTACCTACTTGGCACGCACCGCGTTTCTTCCTTCCAAGAATTACAACCCAGACCCAGATCCTAAAGGAGATACTGAAAGCCGTCTTGCGAACCCCGACTTCCGGCTAAGTCGCATGCTGCACTACTTCTATACGGTCTTCCGGAACCGCATTGCGCCGGAATGCATTGCTTTGATGCGAATTCAAGGCGAGGTACGTGCTGAGACAATCGACCCTGCCGACTTCCCCGTAGATAATTGGGACCTCGAGCGCGCAAAAGACGGTCTGGTACAATTCCTCGACTTCCTCTACACCATCGCCGATATCTACCCCCTTCGACAACATCTCATCGAATATGACGCTGTACACGATCTTATCAAGCTACTCGAGGGCCTCGATGTCGCTGTCGAGAGAGCGCCGTTGCCTGTTAATCGCCGCAACGACGCTGCAGCTACAGCCTCCGCTTCCATACCCACACCACAACCATCCTCATCCAGTAACCCTCCTCCGCCTCCGCCGCCTCCACCTCCTCCACTATCCGAACCTCCCCACGAGTTCCCCTGGGCAGGTATCAAAGGCCAAGTTCTCTCCATTCTAGCCGCGCTACTACAACCACCTCCAGGCCAGAACTCTCCAGGCAACCCGACCGTCCAACTACAGATCGTCAAGCACAATGGAATAGTAGCCCTTCTCAACTGCTGTCTGTACGATGATAACAACCGCTTCTGCCGAGAGCGTACCCAGTTATGCCTAAAGTGGCTCATGGACGGATCTCCAGACGCCGCGGCCTTCCTCCAGAATCTCATCAGCACAAATCAGAACCGCCCCGCCACAGGCGGACAGCCCGTCCGCATCGACGGCGTCCCCGGAGAAGTGAAGATCCAAGTACGCAGCGCCAGCGCACCAGCCGCCGCCCCTGAAAACACCACCACCACCACCACCAACAACAACAATAACAACACCCTAGGCAAGGTCGAAACGTTCAATTTCGAAGCGAACCTAGCGGCGAGCCGAAGTCAAGCCGCCGCGCTAGCCCGCAGGCTAGAAGAGAACAAGAGCCGCAGCGAGGAACTCGTCAACGACCTCCTTGCGCTCACGGTCTCCGGCGATCCTAGAGCACGGCGGGCCGCGGACCCCGTAGACGCCGACGAGACGGAGGATGAGGATTTCATGTAAAAAGAATTAGCAAGGTAAAAACGAAACGCATTGTGTATTACGTTCTGACTAAGTTCATGGAGACGCTGTTAGCTTCTCGGCTTATTTCTGTTCTCATGGGGGTTTAATGTCTGGAGTACGCTTGGGTAGGTAGGTAGGTAGGTAGGTAGGTATGGGGTATTAAGGCGTTTTGTTTATAGTGTTCTGGACGGGCCTAGAGAGGGTATAGATATGTGTTTTTCTCTATGTTATGAGAATAAATTAGTCATAAATTGAAAAGTTCATAACTAATACATTTGTATGTATTGAGTAGTATATGCTTCTGCCCATTCTCTAGCTAAGCCTAATAGGACTCTCTTGACATCCAAGCAACTGCCCAAATAGCGAATTAACATAGCAAGACGAGATCAGAGAAGATGAGGTAGTAAGATTCTATGGCCTATGAAGGCCATACATGTATTGGCTGCACCATATGCTTAAAATTCCCGGTAGACCATGATGTTGAATTTATGATTTCAACATTGTGAGTATTGCTTCGAAATTCCTTTCGTCGCTTCCTATAATCTGTTTGAATAGCACCTCGTGCCGCAGTAAACTTAGTGAATCGTCGCCTCCCTGCTGGAGGCGAGTGTCGATGATATCACACATATCTTTCTTGTGCACCATGATTTCGTCGATCTTCATCACTTGATTCCATGAGTTCTTCGCTTTTGAGTCGCTTTTATTCTTGGCGCTGCGTGTTGAACATTCGGTAGTTGTTGCTGATACAGTTGTTGCTTGCGACGCTGACCTCTTGGGTATTGAGCGGTTTCTGATCTCGGATTGTGTATGTGACTGCTTAAGAGATGGTTGGGTTAATGTCTTGATTCGCGAATTTTGACGATTGTAACTAGAAGTGTGCATGAGATCACCGTCGGATGGATCGTTTGAATTATTTCGAGACCGTTTTCTACTGCTGTTTTTTGTTTGAACAATCGAAACTGTCGCTTTCCTAGACTCCTTTAACGATGGAGTTGGTATCTTGGTAACGTATTCGCTATCTTGCGGCGTTGGCGTTGACGCCATTTTCGAAGCAGATCCTTCGGCTGCGGTATTATGCGGTGTATCTGAATCGGCCAGTTGTGCCTTTCTCTTCCTCGGGGTTGGAAAGGGGAGGATACGTCTGGGAGGAATGATGCCGACCTTGGGTAACTGATGTTCAGGGACATCTTGTCTAAGCAATGAAAGTTCCGAGTTTCGCTCTGGTAGCTGCTGCACAACGGTTTGACCAAACTCAAGGGGCGTTTGTGTACTCGCGTGAGGAGCTATCGCTGGGTTTGGGACTTCTTGGTTGTACTGGTTACATTCGAGGGGGAGTGTTCGCAATGGGTTGGGAGGGGCTGAATTTGGTCGAGCTTGTTCTGGCTCTGGCGCTTTCAAAGTTGCTAATCTTTCGTTGCTGTGAATTTGGCTTGGTTGAGAAGCCATGTCCCGTAACGCAACAATAGGTTGTTCCCGACCCAGATTGTCATACCGTCTCACATATGGTGTAGGGGATAGTGTACGGGGGAATGCCACCATGAACGGGCCACTAGCGGTATATTGATACAGTTGGTTAGGATGTATGGGTAATAAGGGATCTGTGGCCCTTGAAGACTGGCTAGAGCCATGCCGAAGAATAAAGCGAGCTCTATCTTGGAAGACTGGGAGTTTCCCAGCGGCATTGGAGAAGTTGAGGCCCCCGTTGTTAGGAAGCGACTGCGAGGGCATTATAAGCGTACAGAGATCAAGATCTGTAAAGGTGATGATCCTTATTGGCTTGGACGTAATGGCAGTCGAACAGGTTGAGCGTTTGTGCCGAGATACCGAATATTCAGGGCGAGAGGGAGAAATGGGCTGGGCTGTCTAAATCATACTATGCTTGTCTATTCTGTGTCCAACACAAGTAAAATATACGGTGAAACTTCTCAGGACAGCATGCCAGAGGAGAGTTCAATAGTAATGATGCTAGTAAATGTGGACTGAAGGAACAAGAGGCAGTCCAGTGTCTTGTGAAAACACAAATTCGAAGTACCTAAGGTAGGTTCACGCATCTAAGCATCAGCTCCTGCCTACGTAGCCTGCTAAGTACATATAGATACCAGCGGCCCCTTGCCTTAAGTACTTATCTAGCTAGGCAATCTATATAAAAAAGAAGTTACATGGGAATTAGTACCTAAGCAAGGTACCTATTGAAGAAATAGAAAGGAAGCTGCCATGCAGTGGGTGTTAAATGGAAACCATTAGGTAAATACTATAGCAGAAGTTGCCGGGCGTGTTGCTTCTATACCTTGCCGATATAGGCGTCTTCTTCATCATCGCATTAGCTTGGGTACCATACATCACGATAGGGATCATCATTTCTTACTTCTTTACCGAGTGCGGCACGACGTTGGTTATAAGTAACATTTTCACTTTTTAGACTTCAGTGGTAAGCGACAGGTGAGACTAAGAAAGCAATTTAGCAGCCTTGAGAGACCCAGGCAGATTTATAGTAAGGGGGCAAGGCCCCTTTTTTCCTGCTCTCACGATAATATTTACCCCCAAGTCAGTTCTCAGTATAGCAACAGGGTTATATAATAATCAGACTTAACAGAATAACTCTGGTACTGATTTTGCTTCCCAACATACATGTAAATGCATTTCTCGTTGGCTTGATGTTGGAGGTAAGGGATGAGGTACGTACCTAGGTAGTATGTCTTATAGATGTATACACTTGATACAGAGATGAGACTATCCCGTTTTATGAATGATATGCATATACCAGATATAGTCTAGATGCTATGTGCATACTAGGAAGGCATGGCCCGTGCAGACGTGCCTCTTGGCCCCAGCCCAGACTAGTCCCTTCGCAACCAACACGCCTCTGACCTGATTTTCGCGACAAGTTCCTGGGCAGTCATTGAACGAGCTTGGGTTAGCTACCTAGTCAGAATATCTTTGTACGCAACGAGTATCGCATCGCATCGCATCGCATCGCAACGCGTTGCCTCAATCCACCCCCGACCGCACCACTCCGTCCGCTTTGCGATCACCATTTCTCCCCCACCTCGCCAGCTCGATTTCTTCCCACGCCAAAGCGTCTTTGATTGATTCAGTATTGCTTGCTGGCCAGAGCCCATCCATTTCTCCATCTCTCCATTCCTTCATTTGTTTTCCCGCTCGCCCCCCAGCCCTTGTCGAGTCCACCTCCCCCTGCGGCGCACCTTCGCAGCCGATTCCTTCCTTCTCCGGCCGCGGTCTGCTCAGAGTCTCGTGTCCTGCAGCACCCGTCGCAGCGACAGTCCCTAACCCGCCGCGCTTCTTCCGTCGCTGCTGAAGGTGCTGTATAGCCTCTGCCTCTGCATTGGCTTGGACTACTAGTCATTCTGCTTGCTGTTCATCTCCCACGACCGTGCAGCCCTCGCCAGCTATTGTGAAGCTTTCGATCTAACATGGCTCCGGCTCGTGGGCCTGGGGGCAAGGAGGTCCTCATCCATGAGATCGACCGAACCGACGAGTACACCAAATTCATCCAAGACCTGACTGCTTTCCATGAGAAGCGCGGTACTGCCTTCGACCCTGAGCCTAGGCTACCCACTATGCACGGCCATGTCAACGTTGATTTGTTTAAGCTGTATAAAGCTGTGGTCGATAAAGGCGGATACGATGAGTTGAACAAAGTCCAGAAAGCCTGGGGCGCCTTGGCCAGCGAACTGGGCATGTACTTCACTGACAATAAAGGAATGGGCCAACTATCATTCCAGCTAAAGCAAGACTTCTACAGATATCTCTCTGCCTACTGGGTTCAAGATAAATATGGTCGAGATCCTCCTCCTAAAGAGATACTTGAACAGCAGTCGTGCGCTAGTAAACACGGCCCTGTTCTCAGCCGAACCTTAGAAAACTTCAAATTTTCAATGAGACGGGCGGAGGAAACCCCCACGAGGGATGAGCGCCCGCCCGACGGCACACCTACGTCGGGGAATAGGGCTTCAGGTCGTTTACGTGAGGCTCCTCCGCAACGAGTACCATTCCAACCAGACACGGCCCCAAGCCGACAAAGAAACGTGTCTTCACACCATAATACTCCGAATTCCAATATGACACAGAACAACTACCACGGAAACCACACCCCGCAGAACCATCACCACCTCCCTCAGCAACATAACCCGAATAACCCCCTCCACGTAATTCAAGCTCAACAAGCTGCATTGCGGGGTGCTTCGAGTTCCTTCACCCCAGGAAACTCAGAAATAGCCTCCCGCCTGGGAGATCCCATCGAACCACGCCCGCCCATATCAGTCCCTCTCCGCCCTGTCAACACTCCCGGTAATAACCCGGTTGAGTTTGCGAAACGACAACGACTATTGAAAGCTCAGGCTGCTGCACTTGGTAATACACAAGTCCAAGCCCGGCCGATCCAACCCCCGGGTGAGCATTCACTTCTCTTTATTAATGGCAAGATACTGACTAGACTAGCTGGGTTTGACGGCCCTAATATCTATACACGGTGTCTCCAGGCTCTTCGATCCGGCATTCCTGCTGAGCAAGCGTTTGCACTCAATCATCTAGTCAAGATTTCTTATGAGCGAGGTGATAAATACAAGTTTGATTCATTTCTAGGTTTAGCCGAGGGTCTCATTGAAAAGGCTCTTGAGGTTGGTAATCTGTTCTATGACGTTGACTGGCGGATTTCCTACTCTGGCGAACAGGACAGTTCAAACCCTGCTGTTTTGGATGGTCTGGATGGGACATCAGACATCTTAGAAAGAATCCAAAGCCTTAAACCAAAAGCCGTTTTAGACCATTTGCAACCTGCAGACTTTTCGGACCGTCTTCTACGCATTACCGAGGCTGTTCTTACTATGAGGAACATGGTTATGCTTATCGAAAACGCGGTATATATGGCAGAGGTTTATCCACTTAAGGACGTCCTCTGCATCATCCTTCATTTACCTGACCTCGAGATGTTGGTCGAAATCAAGCACTTCGCTTTAGATATAGCCGAACAAGTTACACCCTGGCTCCTCCTGAATTCGAGTGACCCGCTTTATCGGACATTACTGGCCCAACTCAATTCCACTGATCGCGGTACAATTCTAACGGCCTTGCGTGCTATTAGTCGGATATCAATGAATCTAGAAGCCACGAATAAGCTTGAGAATGTGCCAGTTGGAGTGTTACAGAACATCAACAACTGGCTGTTACTTAACGACGAAGAATTGATGGATGCTTGCTTGGACTTCCTCTATCAATACACTGCTGTGGTTGCCAATGTCGAAAGTTTGCTTGGTGCGGTTAATATGGAAAATCTAGTACCGCATCTCGTCAGATTATTGGCCCATGGGGCCAAGCGTGTAAGAGAAGACAAGATTCTTGAGCCGGAGAAGAAGGCTTTATGCACTGAGGAGGTGCCTCCCTTGCCGTTTGACCTCCACGAACAACTGAGGAATACTGATGAGCCTACAAGATGCTTTTCATGGCTCAAGACTTTATTTGAGGAAGATGCAGAGTCTCATATTACACAGATCGCCATATGGCAGGCTTACCAAGGATCTTTTGGAGCTCTGGCAGGAGTACGAAGCAATTTGAGTGCGGCCGATTTCATTCGGAATGTGAGTCACGTGTTCCAACATGCTCGTGCTCAGATAATACGGGGCCCTGGTGAGGTACAACGTTTCATTATCGAAGGTATTCGCGCTCGAACGGTGCCATGCCACTACGAAACAAAGGAAGACTACGCAAGGTGTCAGTGGCAAATTGTCAAGGGCGCTGTTGAAAAAAGGTGTAATCAATTTTATCTCGGTGGTGAACAGATGTGGCGTCATACTTTGACCGCGCATCTAGGTATTACCATTGATGAGAATGGCAAGGTTGGGAACAAGGAAGTTACAACATCCTGTGACTGGGCTGGTTGTGTTAGATATCCGACGTCGAGGCCGTTGAAGCTTGTTGAACTTACTCGTCACATCAAGACACATTTTCCAGCTCCCCAAAAGCGATCACAACAGGATGGCCCAGAGCTTGCATCCAAGCGACCTCGAAAATCGTACATCACACCAGCTAAGACTATGTCTCTGACCTGGGAAAAGACAATGGTGACCTCTGATGAGCGAAAGCCAAACGTCGAGCAAGCCGCTGGCATTCCGTTGAGCGCTGTGCTTGTGCTCCGGAATATTGCGCGAAATATCGTCAAGACCGAGTCCGAGGAAGAACTACTCAAACAAGACGAGATGGGCGGCGAGAGTGGTGGATGGAATGAGAAATTGTTCCGGCCTGTCATGACCCGGCTCTTCGAGGTCATGACGGAAAATAAAGCTTTAGTAGGTTTTTACTTCTTTAATTCAATATGCATAGTACAATTTTGGCTAACCATGAGCGACAATAGGCTGATTACATCACGTCACTTCTGCAGCTGGTTCAGACTGATGATTAGACACCACCTCTTGTTTTTTATAATCGGGGCTGCTTGTTCTCTTTTTATCAGTGAAGCATCCATGTGACCAACGACTAAGTCGGGTCATGAAGGGAGGCAAAATTTTTTCTTCTTCTGATTTTCCAACAAAAACATCCATTCAATCATGTAGGGAAATACCCAGGCGTTTGGAGGGGGGCAGCACATGGGAGGCTTAGTCTTAATTGCGAAGCCCTAAAAAAGAAAGGTCGAAAGGGAATTGGGAAAGGGGCGTGGAGTAGTATATTTAGGAAGGCGGGGGGGGGGGAGATTCTTAATCCTTCGTTCGCCTTCCTGAAGATGTTTTTTCGTTTTCTCTCTCTTTCTCCCGAGCATCACTGTACCGTACTTGTACTCCTTCTCTGTACTATCACGCAAAGCCTGCTACTAGATTCTGCGTTCACACTGCTCGCGTGCAAACTGGATTGGTTGGTTGCTTCTTGGGATGATTCATTCATCGTCACTATAGATATTTGGAGAAAGAGATTTGGGTTTTTCTTTCTTAATTGGCTATTTAAGTTCAAACGACTGCATGATTAGCTTATGCCACCGACTCTAAGTAAGCTTCTCGATGCTTTTTAATCGCATTGTAATTAAACAGTAGCCATAAGCGAATCATCATAGGAAGTGACGGCATACATGTAGGTCTTGGATAGCATGTAAATTAACTAGTTAGGTACTGTAGTTTTCGAATATTTTTTACAGAAGAAGGTTGGATATATTTCGGGGGTTTCCCCTTTTTACCTTTTAGAGCCGAGCTATGTCATTCTTTCTGCACCGTCGCACCTCAAACCAATCGCTCCCCCATTTTTCTCCCACGCCCATGTCAAACCCCTATCATTGAATTTGTTCATACAGGTTACCACGAAATATAAGATGAGGACAGAAATGTCCCCTGTGCCTCTACACCATCCATAGTTTTCTAGTCTCTGCGGCTGAGCTGTCCTTCCCGAACGGCAGCAAGGATAAGATCCTTTGCTTTTTCGCAGCCTTCCTTAGAACCAAGGATCTCGATCGCTTCATCTTTGGCCTGATCACGTGGAACATTGATCTTGCAACCACTCTGTTTTCGAATGGCGTTGACCTTGGAGCCTCCAGTGCCGATAACAAGGCGGTAGGTAGATGGGTCAGGCAGAACAAGGTAACCCGTACTGCTGTTGCTTTGAGCCTGTTCAAGGGCAGTAGCTATAGCCTTCTTGGCCTTTTCAATATTGTCCTGGTTTCCCTTCAGGACCCAAGGGATGTCGCCGTCTTCGGCAGAAGTTGTGTCAACAATGACCCACGAGTGAGCGTCAGCAGCAGCTTCTGCATCGTCGGTGATTAAAGGAAGGGCACCCGTATTTGCTCGGGTGTTCGGGGCTTTCGATTTAGCAGGGGGGTTCTGGCCTGCATGGTCAACCGTAACTTTGTGATCATTACGAAGTCTACGGAAGAACTGTCCGTTCTCTGAAATAGCGTTATGATACTTTCGGGGGATCTGAACGGTTTCCCCTTGCTGTTCCTTAACCAGTGATGAGATGTGGTCCTTGGCTTTCTCAACGTCCGCAGGTAATCCAACTAGCTTCACTTCAGTCGAGCCACTGCCTTGCCGAGGGATGTCGATGGAGACGCTGAACTGGGATTCGAGCTGCCTTTTGGTTTCACCTCCACGTCCGATGAGAGTTCGGTGTTTCTCAACTGGAACGTCTAGGGTCTCCGTGACTTGGCTCTCTCGCTGGGACACGAAGGCTTCAATGCTAGCAATGATCTTGTCAACAACATCGCGTCTACCTTCAATTCTGATACCATTGCCATCGGCATCCTGTTTAGGGAACTGGACGGTACGAGCTTGCAGGCGTCGATCTTCTGGGCCGCCGGACTTGATGACGATGTCACGTAAGGTAGAGCCTGTCGCAAATATTAGTGTGCTTCCATCAATGCAATGCTAGAAAGATATCACATACCTCCTGGCCCAATCAAATTCTTATGCCACTTTCGGTCCACCTCGAGAGTCTTGGAAATAGTGTCATCAAAGACCGCCTTCTTTTCCTGCAAGATTTTCTTAGCAGCGGCAACTTGCTGCTTGCTACCTCTAATAGTAATCTCAACCGCAGCATCTGGGTTCTCGCTTCTATCATTAGGTATATCGACTCTTGCTCCTGTGGCTTGGCGTAGCTCATCCATAGCAGCACCGCCGGACCCAATCAAAGAAGGTAGTTGTTTTTGTTGCACTGTTACAGTCTCGCTGAAGCCATGTTCTTCGAGATATTTATACAAAGACCATATTTCATCTCGAGCCGCATCGGCTCCCTTCTTGGGACCTCTGATGGTAACCTCGTCAGGACCCTGCTGTCGACGTGGTCTACCAGCTTCACTAGCAGCATCAGCTATAGACTCATCATCTCGTCCAGGTTTTGCTGTTTTGGGGAAATTGATGTGAACACCATATCGTGTCTGCAGTCGTAGGATTTGGCTACCCTGTGCACCGATAAGTTCTCTGTGGAACTTGGGCTCGATCTTGAGAGTGTGGGTGGTCTCGTCAGCCCATTGCCGACCAAGTGAAGTGATATGGGCCTTTGCTCTCTCAGCCTTCGCTTTGGGTCCTTTGAGTTCAACCTCGCCGTTTTGCACCTGGATATCAACATCGAACTTCTCACGTAGTTCATTAATATGGCTGCCAGACTTGCCAATGAGATGGTTGGCAAACTTCTGTGGAAATTCAAACTTCATGCTAAACCCGCGCTCTTTCTCGTCTTCTTTCTCTTGCTCGACAAAAGCGGCAGACTTGTCAGCGAGGGATTTCACACTCGAAGCAGGGCCTCGCATAGTCACAGTCGTGCCCTTAACACTGACACGGACGGGAATGTCACCAGCAGCACGAGCTGTCGTATCCTGTTCCTTCTTAATGAATCTGCGCAGTTTGTCTTGGAACCTTGATGAAGATCAGTATTGCTCGACCAGGTTTGTGACGCTTTGAACTTACTTGACTGGAACTTCAAGAGTGATTGTTTCAATCTTTTCTTGCTTATTGATCAACTCAAGGATGTGTTTTCTGGCGTCGCCGAGTCCTTGTTGGAAAGTGCGAAGCTCTGAAGCAGTGGGTGTTTTCTGGGGGATTTCATACGCATTTTCTCCCACTTCGGGCCCCTCATATACCAAGAGGACAGGCATCTCAGGGTCCAAGCTATCAGGGATAACCATATGAACACCAAAGGAATCTTGTACTTTGGGCCGAATGTCACTACGCAGGTAGGAGTGGAAGAAAGGATCAACTGGGATGGTCGCTAAGCGCGAGGGTGGGTGACTATTGACGATGGAGCTCATTTCTTTCTGAGCCTTGAGCGCATTCTTTCCTTCCCGAGCGTATAGTTCCCAAGGGCTGATTATTCCGCTGGTGTAAGGTGTGTTGATATTGATCTTGTACAATTGCTCAAGTCGTTCGATCTCCTTCCTCTGGCGGAGATACCGAGCAAGATCTCGAGTGTAACCGGCTTCTCCGCCAGGAGCATGGCTATGATGCTTCGCGACGTTGAAAACCGAGGTGTGAACCTGCGTGGCCAAGTCCATTGCCTTCTCTAGGCCATTCGCCACATCATCCGGGCAGCCGACAATCGTTACGGTTTCTACACCAGGTTCGCTAGGTAGAATCACTACACAGTTGGTATCGGCAAAGAATTCGTCTGATGGAATTCCCCGCTCTCCGATGATAAACTGGTGGGCGCCCTGGCGAATGTCCACCTGGTCCATGTGAAGTTGATTCTGCAGCTCTTGCACCCTCTGCTCGATTGCGGCTTTCGCAGCTTGAACCGCAGCACGCTCACCTGCTAGTTGGATGTGGTTGTCATTCATAGCAGGGGTGAATGCTGGTCTTTGTCCAGCTACTGGCATTTGCGGCACCTGTGAAGCCCACGGCAAATGCGGCGGCACGCGAATCTGAACACCATGCTCCGCCTCAAGAGCATTGGTGAGACTGTTATTCGGGCCGGAAATAAAGGGATAAAACTCGGCAGGAATAGACCTCAGCTTTGTACTTGAATTAGCTGAGCGTTCACCAACGATCTTCTCGATTAATTGGCGCGCCAACGCAGCCGTGTGGGTGTTTCCTTCAATAACGACGTCGACCATGGCGTCATCATCATCATCGTCCGCATAAGCATTTTCATTGACCTTAGGCATTTGTATTCTTGCACCAGACTTCTCTTGAATAGATTTGATCGTAGCACCTTGTTTACCAATGATATGAGCCCTTGCAGACTGTGGGATCGAAACGGTGGCAGTTTCCTGTAATGGCTATTAGTCAAACAGGAACGCAAGATAGCAACAGTGCGTAACGTACCTTGCGACCAATCTGTGAAACCAGATCACGCAAAGCTTGCTGAGCCTTGTCCTGAGGGCCAGAAGCTTCGAACTTCAGCTGACCACCTGGCCCATTGGCCATTGTAATGACTGCCCGAGACTTCCGGTTGATATCCTTCACGATATCAGGGATTGGGCGCTTGAGCTGGGCGCGAGGGAGGATTGAGGACGAAGGCAGCATGATGGTCTCCACGTTCCGACCAGGAATGGCCATTGGTGGAGGCACGCCAGTCGGGGTGGCCACTCCAGACGTAGGCGTCATAGTACGGGGGGTGCCATTAGCTGACCAAGAAGTTCCGTTCAAGTTACCGTTTGCGCTGCCCTTAGCGCCAGCCCAGATGGGAGCGTAGTTCGTCTTTGGTGCGTTGGTCTTGGGCACTCCGAGCTCGGGGAATGCCTCATGCGACTGAGTGTCAATACCAGCCGAGGCGGCGCTGGGCTGTTTTCCGGCGGCTTTGGCTGACATTGTAGGAGCCCAGGAAGCGTCACTGGGTTCTGCCGCGTCGGTCGAGGGCTGAGCTTCATCATCGGGCGCATCTTCGACGGTGGCTTGAAGGGGGTGCTGAGCATGCTTCTGAAGAAGCCGGGCAGCGGCGGAAACTTCTTCGGTTGCCATTATCGAATCTGTACAAGAGATGTAAGCGAATTGGGAATTGAGCGATGAGCTAGTGTTATAGAGTAGTAGGCTCCGTTAACAACGATGGCAGCCAAGCCGATGTGGAAAGATGGGCTTCGTCAAAGTCGGCGAAGGAAGACCAATGGTGATGGGCACAAGCTCCACGATGGCCAGTGTCAGCTCACCTTTATCTTCACACAAAGTTGAAATAGCTGCGGAGTTTCCAATTGACTTTACTCAACAACTAAGTTGAGCAAGGACAAATAAACGGGTGGACAATTACACGTGGAGAGGTAGTACCGATACAGTGGGGGATGCCAGACAGAGATGGGGATGGAGCTGTAGCTACGGACGAAGCTAGAACATGATGCTGCTCTGCTGTGTCAACGGGGGCGGTAAGAGGGGGGGAGGTGGCAGGTTTCGTCTGCGACACACGACGGGCACACGATGGGCACACGATGGACGGAGTGCCGGGCAGAGATTGGCCGTTGGGGTTGCAGGAATGAATAGCAGTGAAGCTGCGTGGATGGACAAGGACGAGAGACAAGGACGAGATGGTGCGAACTTGCTCTGACCGACTCGACTCTGACCAGATATCCAAGAAAAGGTGCTGGCAAGGGCGAGGTGGAGCCTGGGCGAAGGTGCGAAGGTGCGAAGGTTTGCCAGCCGAGCTTTGGTCTGCAACGGGGCGCTGTCGCCTGCCAACCGACCGACGGGCCAATGATCTAGTCTCGATTTAGAGCTTTCTGGGGCTCTCTGGGGCTCTCTGGAGTGCTCTGGCAGTACTGCTCTGGGTCTGTCAGACCCCGGCCGGTATCTCCATGTCTACCCATGTATCTCCATATCAACACTCCCGCCACCACTCTGCAACGAACTGTTAGTGAGGTTCATGAGCTTGCCCCGCAGTTCTCCATCTTCACTTTGGAGTTGCGTGTGCAGTTGCATTTACACTACCTACATGTAGGTACTTAAGTAACCTAGTTAGATCAGGTATGTAAGTAGGTAGATTACCTAAGGTACTGACCGACCTTGCTGTAGATCAGTATTACGAAGATATCGAAAGAAACATCGAGAATTCCCAAGAAGCGAATATTATCTTCGACGGATCTACCATCCCATACTCGGGCGCAGGCCCTGAAGAATGCCTCGTTTTCTGTTACGGATGGATCATTCCACCGCACCACACCGACTTGGCCATTTTCCTTTTCTTTTCTCGAGTGCGAAACGAGTAACTTTAAGGTTAGCTAGTTACCTGGGTTAGGTGATTAGATTAATAACTACCTGCTTAATCTTCTGAAAGTTGGCTCGCTCACATATGCAAACCATGCTTCAAGCTTCAGCAACCGCAAGTTATATAAGTGAGCTAAGTACACCCAGTTCCGTGAATATCAAGGCTCACAAGGGAGATGGTTTATGCCACAATAAGATGACTAAGTGTTATTGCAAACTCTAGTTCTGATTTTATCATTTCACTGTAAGTTTTATCTTGTGTAAAAATCCCGCATTGGTCGAATGAAACAACTCAAAATAGCTCATTAAACGCCAGCTTAATTTCTGAGCAGTTAATCTGAGTTGCGTACCTTTCATATGACTCTGCGTGTACCTAAGATCACGCAACTCTATACCTACACATGTTCGATTATGTAATAATATCTTTCAACCCTACAAAATCGCCCGAGTGCGGCCAGACTCTAGGAATTTATGGCATTTCTTCGAGCCGAGACTGCACAGTCTTGGTATTGTGGCCAGATCTCTGTAGACGAAGATGAGAACTCGGGAAGAGCGTGTCACTAATCTTCTACACATCACGAGATTGGACTTGTTACTAGCATCCTAGCGGCAAATGCTCGTGAACTCTCCCACTCAATGACACTTGCCTTATTATACTATTTAATCTCGTGATCTGACAAGTTGTGCGGTCAGTTAAGAACCTGCTGTATTGGGATGCAGTGATTTATATACAGCTTGGTGAGCGCTGTATCAAGGAAGGATATGACCCGCCCAAGCCGGAGAGCTGACTTGACACATGTGACGGAATAATTTCAGCCGGAGCGTCTATACCAACAGGACCATAGGGGCAATTAACTCTTTTATGCATAAACTAATAGAGCGGGCGAAGCCTTGCTGACTGGCTCGCCATGAATTACTAAGTGAGTTGTAATATATTTCTGCAGGCGAGCTACTCGTGCACGTCGCCATTGCTGAGCCTATTGCTGCACGTCACGAACGTCGGGGCTGCAATTTGCCGATCTTGTGTATCGTCGTCCAATCTTCGGGGGCTTGCCACTGCGCCACGAAATTACAGCCCGTAGGCGACGCGTCTACTGGCCACAAAATGGTACGATCAGACAAATCGCGACAGCTAACTGAGATGAGAGGTCAACCCATCCCGACCGCAACACGGTGGGCGACGACTCAATTGGGTCGAGCTTTGAAGAGAAGAGACATCGCGGGCCGGCAATTTGTCAGTAAGTCTGCATGGAGAAATTCGAGACGAACCCTCCACCCAAATAGGTTCGACAGTCGACAGTACAATACCTATATCTTACCTATTTGCCAGAAAAGGGGCTCGACCTCTAGGATCTCTCACCTTGCAGTTGAGCAAACTCAAGTTTGAGCGGACAGGGAGTGCTTTATCTCAAGCTGGGTATTTAGCAAGACATGGTAAACCTGTCGAGCTCGTAATTCACTAGCTGCGCGAAAAGCGTAGTGTATGTGGATTTTAATAGTACCAGTAAATCAGATCTCTGAGACAGCAGTAGGAGATGAAACTATCGGCACTCGTAGCCAAAGGTATGGGTACCGCCAAATTGGGGTCAGGCAATGGATCAAGGGAGACTCGAGCGGAGACCAGGTGCATACCTTTATTATATCTCTACGGGGCAAGGACTTGATGAGAATATCGACGGTAATATCAGTAGGTATTCCAAGCAGGAACCTGAACGAGGATGGCATTGGTGGCTGTAGATCGATTCGATACCGGTAGCTCTGCCGGTAGCGTTTGCTAGGTGCCGTTAGACCTGAAACATGTTTGATACCATGCATATACCAGCAAGCGCCACTGACGAGAGAGGCAGAGAGTGCTCACTTCACACTTCACGCTTCATGCAGTAGTCTTGGATGCAACGAAGTGCTGAAGCATTCCTTGTCGGTTGGCGCTCTACAGCCTAGGTCTGCCCAAGCTCTCTTTAGGATGTCGTTGTATTCATTGGCCACAGCGCAACGGACAGAGCAAGTAGGGGCGAGGGGATAACATGAAACTATGAGGTAGAGCTCTCCGAGCGGGAATGGCCATGTCCGCGATGCTGATCTTGGTATTTGCGAAGTTCAACGCGCCTATCTTCTACGCTACCGTTTTTTTAGCTGGGACTATGCCACAATCGGGTGCTAATCCGACCAGGGCGGCCCGGGCGTTTTATAGCTGGTGATCTAAGTAGGGAGATACTAGGTAGTAGCCCGCAACGACGTCATGGTAATCCAAGACAGCATAATGTTAAAAAAAAAAAAAACCGAAAACGAAAAATTGTCAATGGCAGGTTCACAAAGCTGCGGCAAATTGCGAACCGTCATGACGCCTCAAGTGAGATGTAGCACTCAATTTGAGTTAGGCGAACCATATTTCAAGCCGACCCAATCACGGACTGTGAGAAACCACTCCAAGACGGCTTCTCTGTCTGGCAGCAAACCCCGCGCCAACCTAGCAATAGCAACACTCCCACGTTTCCCAAACATACTAGCCTAGGTACTGTATGTAAGGCAGTATGTAAGGCAGGGCAATTAGATACCTCTTATACGGGGCCAATTGAAGCACTGTAGAGGCTGTATCTCTCCGATTATACTGATATTTAAGGGGTTCGAGATGGTCAGGGCATCTTTTTAGTAATCAACCAGTGCAAACCAAGTTTGTACCTACTTATCACCAGGACTCCTGCAGTGAGCAAATGCAGTCCTGACTTCTGCATACATGGATGGACGGCAGGTGGCCAGGCAGGTAGTACATTTCCTTCAACGACCTCAGGCGGACGAGGTACAAGAGTCAAAGCAGTTCGTATTCACAAGTCGCCGTTCACAACGAATGCCCACACCCATGCCGTGCTACATTTGCACAATAGTTGGTCTTCCGGCGAATCGTTCACGCATTGGTCGCTTCCAAACCCAGCAGCCCTAATATTACTTCACAGGCGAGACAGGATAGGTACACAACGCCTTGGCCCGAGCAGGTCGACTACCAATTTGTTCAGCCCTTGGGCCGTGATTGAATAAAGTAACCAGGTAGAACAGGATCCAATGTACTGCAAATTTTGTTGGATGTAACAGAATTCCACCAATCAAGCCCGTTTTATCATTACAGCTCATGAAAAGACATTTCCATGCTGGCCCCTTACCCAAGAGGAGCTGGCTGAAAAGTCTGGCTTTTCAGCCAAGCAATTGCTGAGGAGACAGGGCCAATCCATCTCGAGCCATTGTAGCAAGATGGAAAAAAGGTAGGTAGCTGTTTGAGTAGGTGGGAAGATAGGGTCAAGGGAGGCTCTCGAGGGAGAGGGGAGAGTGAGAAAAGGGAGGAGGGAAATAGGAAAAGGAGATGACGGTTATTATAGCGGGGTCGCATGCCGTTACCTACACCACTCATATGCTGCCTTCATTCTGTTTCGAATGCCGGAGGTTATGTAGGTAGGGATTTGCTTCTCCAAGGCAATGAGTGCAACTCCAATGGTATCGTCGATACTTACCAACATGATGTCTCCCCATCTTACTTCGTACCTATTAGTATTCTCTGTACCACAGTGGGTATATCCCATGCTCTGGCCGTACCATCCATCGTGAACTATTACTGCATCTGGACAAACTAGTACCATGTACCATCACGAGATTACCTACCTCGTCAAACAGATGACGGGACATGGAGCTTTGAGTAGCACGATATATCTTTGTGTAAGTAGCATTGCTATTGCTTTTCTCCACGCAATATGCACGCAGCATACGACTCGCTTGACCACCATGCCTCATTCACCACTTTGGTAGGTACATGGATGGATATCATCACTCCTGGTATGGGTATGCCTCCCGCGATGTGACTGAGGTAGGTTAGATGATTATAGGGACTTAGATAATAATACATATCCCACCCGCCTGCGCAGGCGATGATCTGCTAGGTACCGGTGTCCTACCAAGGGATTCCTGGATCCTTGCTGGGATGGTGTTGGCCCCCTGGTCACTCGTTTAATAGGTACTTGCAAGTCATTAGCCTGCGTCCCCGTTCTGCCCGTTGATGCAAACCGGCCGGTGCCATGGACCAGCCCACAGCAAGAGCCAGCCTGCATGGCGTGTGTGTGGTGTGAGATGATGGACGCATGTCAAAAGGCAACCTCAGAGAGAGAGAGAGAGAGTATGTGTGTGTGTGAGTGAGTGAGTAAGTGAGAGAGCCAATGCTGGAAGGCAGCTGTACACTACATTAAGTACGGCCGTCGTTATCTTGTACCACGGGCCCCCCCCAGCAATTTGTCGTCCAGCTCCACGATCAGTCCAGGTTTCATCGTCCTCAAGCAGATGGTGATCCGGTTCATCATACCAAGTGATTTCCTGTTCAAGAAGAACCATATACCCATCTGACCTTGGAGGCACCGGCGGGGTGGCAGCGGTAGCAACAGCATTTTCATCCACTACCTACCTACCATCATTACCTGCCTGCATGCCTGCCTGCCTACCCAAGTACTTACTACCACGGCCTATTGCAATTACACCACCACTACGACCTCTTGAGTATTACCTACAATCCATGGTTATTATTGTTGTTCTTATTACTACCTCTTCCTACATAGTAGGTACTGCCGCTACTACATACATACAGACACACATACACACACATACATACTTGCCTACCTAGGTACCTATGTAGTCTGAGTGAGGTACGACTAATAGCCCTGAGCTCCGCGTCCCTACTTACACATGCGTATTACATACCTACCTACCTACATACCTACATCTCCAGCTCTACTGCTACCTACCAATTTCCCCAACGCAGCGTGATCGCTGTCCGCGTAGACGCCGTGTCCTTCCTCCCCCCTACATCATACTTTCAGCCTGCCTAGCCAAAGTCAATCGATCCATCAGTCGGGACTCGGTACCGTGTCTGACTGACAGTGGCGCGTAATCTGGGTTCTTTTTCCAAGTAGCCCGCCCTCCTCTCGTCCTGAGGCCCGCTTCCCCGCCGTTTGTGCTAATAAGCCGCTGTGGGTAGATGCAAAAATAAAAATAAAACAGGATGGATTGGGCTACAAACAACAATAGCGACTCTGTGAACACTGTCAATTATCCACGCCAGCAACAGCAACAACAACAACAACCATCCTCACAGCGCCGCAGACTCACCAAGAAACCACCGCCACAGTATCTCCAGCACACGCCCAGCTACTCCGTTGCAGGCGACGGGCGCTTTGACGCCCAGTCCCTCCAGAGCAAACGGAGCTCCAGCAGCTTGAAGCGAGCTCCTAGCGCTCCACTCCAGAATACTGGCAGATCCTCTAACGCGTCAAACAACTCATCACCCCGACATCCTCCTAATCACCCACTTCCGCCTCCCGTCTCTGCTCCCCTTCTTTCTTCTACCACAACCACAACCACATCCACACCCACTCCCTCCTCCTCCTCCGCCGCCGCCGCCGCCGTCGCCGTCACCGCCAACAGCAACTTCGTCATCTCCTCTCCTCTAGCCTACCCCTCGCCGGCCGCCCAGCCCGGCGATTTCTTCGCCACGACGACTTCTGCACCTTCTTATCAGGTTGCCGCCCCCACTTCCCCTTCCGTATCCCACTCCCACACCTCGCCGCCGACCACCATTACTACTGCGACATTCCCCGCCACTAGCGCTTCTGCCGCCGGCGCAACAGCGGCATTTGGCGCTGGCGTTGGTTTTGGCTCTGATTCTGGTCGTGGCATTGACATTGACATCGGCATCCGTGCTGGCACCGCCCCGTCGACATCGGCTCGAGTCACTCAAGGCCAAAGGCAGGGTCATAGCTCCCAGGAACAACAGCAGAAACCAAAACAGCACCAGCATCTGCAGCGTTTATCCGGCCCGCAACAGCTACCCTTGCGGCCTCTCCGCTCCAAAACATCCGAAGAGTTTGTCGGCGCTCCCTTCGACAGTGATAGTATCCTCAGTCAGCTCGACAAAGCTGCCGCCCGAGTACCCTTGTCTCCCCAAGCTGCTCCGCCCACTGTTCGCCCTCAGCCGCCCCCGCCATCATCCGACCCGCGTATCATGAAACCTTCTCTTCGCCGCTCCGCTAGCTTTAACGTTGCCAATGCCACCATGTCTGAGAAGTCTCAAGCCGCCCGTTCGAATGATGCTCCCATCATCTCATCCAAACGGTATTCCGACGAGTCCAAAGAGCCCAAGCCCCCCAGTGTCTTAAGAAAAAAGTCGGGGTTCTCCGGCCTCATGAGCACCTTGGTGGGGTCACCAAAGAAACCGGTTATCTCTGCACCAGGGAATCCGGTTCATGTCACGCATGTCGGATACGATAGCAATACTGGCCAGTTCACGGTACGTCTTCATTCCCGTTTACTGTCTTCAAATGTCAATTTCGCCTGTCATTCCAAAACACTCTATTCGGTTTATCTGTGCTGATGATAGATGCTGTTCTTTCCAGGGCCTCCCAAAAGAATGGCAGCGTCTTATTAACGAGAGTGGTATCCCCGAAAATGCTCAGAGGGAAAACCCGCAAATGATTGCAGACATTGTGACCTTTTATAAGGAAACTACAGAGAGGCCTCACGAGGACCAGGTTCTTGAGAAGTTTCCTGATGTTAGAGCCCCGGAGCTTCGCACACCATCAGGAGGAATAACATCTCCCGGCATCTACTCGCCAAACCTAGCTGGTATGTCACCTATGATTAGTCCACCAGCAAGTCCCAGATTTCCAATTGTGAATCATGAAGGCACCTTTGAAAACCCCCGCGCCCCGCCGCCGGTTCCTATACCAGGGAAAAGCCTAGCGCTGCATACACCTAGAGACCATCCGAATCTTCAACCCAGTCGCCCGGCGCCGAAACCTCCAGTCTCCATGCAAACACGAGTGCAACCGCAGTCACCGTATCCTCCGGCCAAAGATTCTGGCATCGGCATATCACAGCCTGGCGAAGATTTGCCAGCTGTTGCTTACGCTCCCCCGCCCAAGGATAGCAGTGTCCCGATGCTGCCTGAAGAACATAGGTCGAGGTCTAACTCTCGTGTCAATGGTTCCTCACCTTATAGTCCCCTTATTGCCCAAGCTCCTGCCAGCCAACCCTCTCCGGCAATGCAAGCCGCCGCTTACCAACAACAACTGATGCAACAGCAACAGGAACAGGCCATGTCTCAAGCTCAAGCTGCGATGAAAGGACAACTAGGAAGGTCTCAAAGTACGAGACAGCCTCCGCCACAGCCTATGGGCACAAGAACACAACATCCTCGACCTCCCGAAGCTAACGGTGGTGGCGCTGGCGCCCCGCCGACACAGGTGCGACCTCGCAATAGGACGACACGTCAAAGCCAGAATACTACGATGGATGTTGCTGCTGCTTTGAAAAGGATATGCTCAGAAGGTGACCCCCGCGAGATATACAGAGGATTTACGAAAATTGGCCAGGGTGCGTCTGGCGGCGTCTACACAGGTCATGAGAGAGGCTCAAACCGTTTGGTGGCCATCAAACAGATGAACCTGGAGCAGCAACCGAAGAAAGACTTGATCATCAATGAGATTCTCGTCATGAAGGACAGCATCCACCCAAACATTGTTAATTTTATTGACAGCTACCTCTGTGGTGGCGAACTGTGGGTGATTATGGAGTACATGGAAGGTGGTAGTCTAACTGATGTGGTCACCTTCAACATTATGACTGAGGGCCAAATAGCCTCGGTCTGCAGGGAGACACTGAAAGGGCTCCAGCACCTGCATTCGAAAGGTGTAATTCACCGAGATATCAAATCTGATAACATATTATTATCACTGGAAGGCAGTATTAAGCTCAGTAAGTTTCCCTAGCTTCATTTTCCGAGATGATCGCAAACTAATATTTTGGGAACAGCTGATTTTGGATTCTGCGCTCAGATCAACGAAGCTCATAATAAGCGCACCACAATGGTCGGTACGCCCTACTGGATGGCACCTGAGGTCGTAACCAGGAAGGAATACGGTCGCAAGGTCGATATATGGTCTCTTGGAATCATGGCTATCGAAATGATTGAAGGAGAGCCGCCCTACTTGACAGAGTCTCCACTTCGCGCTTTGTGGCTAATCGCTACGACCGGTACACCACAAATCAAAGACGAGCATACTCTATCCGCAGTATTCCGCGACTTCCTCTATTTTGCCCTCAAGGTAGATCCTGAAAAGAGAGCCAGTGCTCATGACCTCCTTCGAGTAAGCTACCCTATTCTCCCGAGTCAGGTTCGCGGACTTTTTAGGCTAACCCGCACTAGCACGAATTCATGAAGTTATGTGTCGATCTTGGATCACTATCCCCTCTAGTCCGAGCTGCTAGAGAAGCTCGACAACAAGAAAAGTCTCGGAAGGGAAATTGAGGTGTCACCGACCCGACACGTGTCGAATCATGCGGATTGAAAGTATGGAAGAATAGTACATAAAACTGACTTGGATAGCTGCATACCCCAAACATTTCATGGTGCCTCGCCTGTGTAGCGCTGGACATATTTTAAAGCAACCTCTCGCGTATTTTTTCACGAGATAGAATAGGCAGGGCTGAAGGGCACGCCATTGGATTAAAAGAGCGCGTTTTATTCACGTATCTATCGCAAAGGCGGCAGATTTATTTCTTTACTCGGACGTCAGGAATTGTGAAGATCCAACTCCAAGTACACTTGTACATAGCAAGACGATACCATTACTGCCGTACAACATTTCCTCGGGCGACCAGATCTACGACGTTTCTTCGGGCCGTTCATCTAAGGATCCAATTTTCTAGACGCGCAAATTGCGCTTAAGATAGCTAGCATGAGGAATTATTAACCGATGTACAACCGCTCTTCAGTTGAACACGCAGGCCAGAGGCCCGGCCTAAATACGCCAGTTTCATGTGTGAACTTCATGGCCCCTCTAATGCCATGGGAATGTAGAACACATCCATCCAATCTATTGCTGTGATACCACAAGGGTTTCTCTCCCATGAAACGGCATTGACATTTATTTACTGGGTATTACTAGCAGTTTGTTTGCCCATTCTATTCGGGGGTTTGTCGATAGGCAAGCAAATACTCCTTTTGCCATGCCCACGTTCAATAGGTTCACGGCGAGCAGTTGCTACAGGCCAGTTGAAACAATTAGACAGAGTTCGGTGACTAGTTGTTACGTCTGTCAGAGTACGGCCATCGTGATCATATAGACGTTGTAGATGGGAAGATTGGCCTGGTGCCCTACCATTGTGGCTATCTAATGTATACATGCTGTAGGCGATATGGTAACTTACTAACTACAATTGCCCATTTTAAAAAAATGACGATATCCTCATCGTCCAGTCCAATGCCCTCATCGTAGTCCATATCCCATTCTATCGTGCATCTTCTCATACCGAGGTATAGGATTTCACCTCCGGCTTCTTGGGTGCGAGGCTTTGTCGAACGGGTGGTCGTGCCGCGTTACATATCGTGCGGAACCACAGAAATTAAAGAATAAATGTATAGAGGGGTAACTCAACCTCAAGCCGAATAATAATACCCTGCATAGCTCAGAAACGAAAAACCGCCGTTGATTTTGATAGCTAGCTGCCATTTTGTTAGGGTATGGGAATTGTGATTGTGTTGAAGTTGCAGATGGGGAGATCGGCCTAGACTAAGGCCCTGGTACTGTGGGATATTAGTCGAGGAGCGCTTTTATGGCTGTGAGTTTTTCTTCGATTCGGTCTGTTGAACGGGACGACTCAGTTCAGCTGGAACGAATAGTACTATAAACCCATTTAGAACTGAAAGGCATTCGATCCTTCTTATGTGAATTCGATGACGTCCGAGACGTGTCCTTCGTACCTACCTATATATACATAGTGTAGGTGGTGACTGCCTACAATGTCCAACAAGTGGTAGGTTTCGTCATCACCAGGTTATCTAAGGTTATCACGACATTATCACCAGGTTACTCTAAGATTATAGGGGACTACAGATAGTCTTAAAAAAGCTTGAATTCGCGAAATGCAAGAGTTAATTTCTTCAGGTCTATTTCCATGGCAATCCATGTGTCGCCAACTCAGAACTCTAAAAGCTGATTCGCTCTTTCCTCTAAATCCAAGCCAGAGGTTTGGCCGTGCATGCCAATGCTATGCATATATATCGGGACCGCCTTCCCCCCTTTGCCATTTCTCTTTCCCGTCCAGATTGTACAGCTCTCGCTCTCCGCGAGATATTCCCCCTTTTCCCGACATTAACAAAACAATACTGACGGTATGGCTCGACTCGTAAATGCAAAAAAAGAAAACTCGCTTTTTCTAAGTCTAAGGACAATGAAATCCCGGCTCCATTTTCTTTCTATTGTGTTTAATCCTTCTCCGTTGGTTCCGTGCGCCGGTGCATATCCCGTTGGGGGTTCTCCGCTATGTAAGCAAGCGGGCCCCGAGTCTATCGTGCTTGAAGAAAGAATCTAAAAGGCAAATCGAAAAAGATAACGCGCAGGTGGCTGTGTCGTCTATAGCAGGTGGAATAGATGAGTCGAGGAAATCAGTGTGCGTGATAGACGCCGGTACCGCTCGGCCGAGGTCCTAGGGTCCATGCAGTTGAACCAGGTTCTGGGAGCGGACGCGTCACTCTGCCCGCATGAGCGTCGTATTCAGCGCAAGGGCACCTGATGCAGGCCCCTTGCAGCGTCGACAATCATGGACACACGGGTATACTGCGTTATCTAAGCAGATAGCATGTGTCCTGGTGGCAAGTTCACGTGGGTGCAACACGTTTAATAAACGGTGTAACCGCCGTCGATAGCGACGTTGGCACCAGTCATGAAGCCCGAGGCGTCCGAGGCGAGGAAGACGCAGAGACCGTTAAGGTCGTCGACGTTGCCCAGGCGGGCCTGGGGCGTCAGGGAGCGCCAGATCTTCTTCTGGGCCTCGAGGGCGGGGACGCGGTTTAGTGCCGTGTCCATGTAGCCGGGGGAGATGCAGTTGACGCGGATGTTGTACTTGGCCCACTCGGCGGCGAGCGACTTGCCGAACTGGATGACGCCGGCCTTGGAGGCATTGTAGCACGACTGCTCCTGGGGGTAGTTGACGATGCTGCCGCTCATCGAGGCGACGAGGATGATGGAGCCGGGCTTCTTGGCGGCCATCATGGCGCGGCCGACAGCCTGGGACATGAGGAACGAACCGGTCAGGTTGATGTCGATGAGGCGGCGGAACATAGCCGGGTCGTAGGTCTCGGCCTTGATGTTGGAGTCGGCGATACCAGCAGAGTTGATCAGGACGTCGGGGGCGCCGTAGGTCTCGACGCAGGCGTCGACGGCGGCGTTGATAGCTGCGCCATCACGGACATCGACCTTGAAGAAGGAGACGGGGAGACCAGTCTTCTGGTGCAGCTCGGCCGCTGACTCGTCACCGAGCTCCTGGTTGACATCGAAAATAACGATAGCCTTGGCACCGGCCTCAGCGCAGGCCCTGGCCATGTGGTTTCCGAGGCCACGAGCACCACCAGTGACGACGACGACCTTGCCCATTACACTCATCTTCTGCATCATGGGAGGCATATCCTTGTAGACTCTCTGTGTCAGGGGGATGACATCGCCGTCCTCCTCAGTAGGGAAGGGCTTGGGCTTAGCATCGTCTCGGTTGACGGGGATGCTGAAGTGGTCGCTGGTAGAGCCGGCGGCACCGGTGGAGTCGGCCGAGTATACAGATACAGGAACCTCGGTCTCTGCCACAACGTCCGTCTTCCTTCGCGAAGAGGACACTGAGAATGGCCGCTGGGCGGCGGGGATGGCTCTGAAAACGGGGGTGCGCGAAGCAGCGCTGGAGAAACGGGGAGCAGCAGCTCGGGCCACGCGCAGGACTGATGCCTTTCCAGACATTTTTTTGGCTGTGAAAAATGTGATGTGTGGTTTTGGTGGTGGGGAGGGGGTTTAAGGGGGAGATTAAGAGAAATCGAGCTAGAGGATGGTGCCCAATTATGTAGTGCGGATAAGCGATAGTAGTAGCTTCAGCTGATCAACACGGGGTATACACAGCGAGATAGAATGAAATAATGAGGATAATGGTCTGGAATCACTCTGACTTCAAGACAGAGCGAGGAGGCGGCTTCTTATGTAGCAAGGCCGAGATCGGTGGGGCAGAGAAGGCTGTAGTTAGGGGAGCTTGGGGGGTGGTATGTGGAAGGATCGTGAGATTGCGCAGAGGGTCACGAGACGGGCGGGTTTGATGAGAAATGGGTATCGTCTAAATTCCCGACAAAAAGGACAGGTCTTTGCTCTGCACAAGCGCTTGTATTTCTTGTGTGCCCTCTCTTAGCTCTCTTTTTTTTTTTTTCCCAACTGCGGCTTATTACTAGCAGCTTTTCGTGTCTTAGTCGCTCACGGATTGCTAGATCCGCTTTGCCGTGGTGGGGAGTGAACGTGTCTCGTGAATTGTTTTCTGACCAGGGAAAACGAAACGTGTGCCTCTCCTAGGACCCAAGGCTGTCTGTCTTTGTCTCGTCGTGGGGTTGGGAGGGATCTGAGCGCCTAGGTACGACCGTATTGCGGAATAGTCGCGAAAATCGTGAGATTGCAAATTGGCGGTGTTGAGTCTTGTCTCGTCCCTTTTTTTTTTTTCCTGTCTCCTAAGAGTTACGTGTGGGTGAAAGAAATAGGAGAAACTTGGACCTGGCGCCGGAGAGGTGAGGATGAACACCCTTTTTCTACTTCTTCGGCGTTATCTAGATGTTTTTTTGTGGATTTTGCCTCTCTACTACTATCTAATACCTAGATCAATCTTTTTTTTTTTCTTTCACTATCTCTCGGGGTCTCGCTGTTTCGCGCCATCAGGGCAGAGTGGTTCTGCCCATCTTGTATCCGCATTTAGATCCAACGCCGTGCAGGGACTGTTTGTGTGGGTGGATGTATGGGCACATATTCTGGAGAATGGAATGCACGCTACTGTAGTGTGGTGAAGATAGATAGCTGATCAGTATCCTCAGTGTTCTGGGGCCCGGCCCACGGGTGGCAATGCAGGCTCGCGGACTCCGACTGTACGGTAGGCATCACATTCATCAATTACGTAGCCATTGTGTGCATTCTATCGAGCAGGTAGGTGGTGAGAGGGGATCACCGAGCGCTAGCTGAGGGCTGAGGCTAGCTGCTACTGCTGCTCATGTAGCAAACGGCAAACAAGGGTGAAGCACATTCCATTCCCGAATATTTTGTGCTGTTTGCTCGCCAAAACAATTGCTGTCACCACCACCGAGTAAAGCAGAAAGAGGATAAGAAGCCATGGCGAGAAATCTCTGTGAGGACGCGTGAGCAAGTCAGACAGGACCGGTGAGAACAGGCCAGGACAGGGCCGTCACGGGCAGCGGAACTCGTATGTCATTACTACTGTAAGTATGTATTTCCCTCCGGTCCCCACGATTGAGGGCAGATCCGTTTCGAGCTCAGAACCCCTCAGTCTGCCCAGAGTCTGACCTCAGGTTTGGCGCACTACACTATGTACGGTTGTATTCCGAGACTCCATAACACAGATCTGTCCTTGTCATCTTCGTGTTGTGCACAGCTACCTGTTCGTACCAGTCGTGTAAGCTATGTACTTACTCACAGACCATATTCATGGTGTGCAGGAAGTAGACTAAGCGTTGGGGGAATGACGAAGGACAGAACAAAAAAAAATTATCTCCCACTGCCAAGTTAATATCCCCTGGCAATTCCCTGGCATGACCCAGCCTGGTGGAGGGTCTAGAGGCTCCCAGGCCCATACTTTACCCACCGAGATCATCATGAGACGCTGCTTGCAGGACCCTACTCCCGTATTTGGAAGTGATTCGAAGCTTCTCGGGAGCGTCGTTGCGATGTTCTGGGATATCTTTAGCCTCTTGGCAAGACCTGCCACTCTGCAGATAGAGTGCCATCCAATGTAGCCAAGCCGACGCAGGCTAGGTGACGAACCTCCCCTTGTCGTAATATTGCATATTGGCGACGGCGGTACATCATCAGCATGCCTTGGACCTGTACAGAATCTTGTACCCTTCCTTATCGCCAATTTCACTCGCTTAGGTGCTGATTTCAGCTATATTACCTACTCCCCGCGACGATTGGACGCCATATGCCGAGAAGAGCAGCGTAATATCCGCGATTGACGAGTCATAAGCCGATTTTAGCGGAGTTTTTATTTATTTTATCTGTGCCGTCCTGGCCATTGCCTTTGCTCCTGGCAACGCCTGTCCGCTAGCTCCAGATTGAGTTATTACATCAACAGAACCCAAGAGTCAGTCGGGATCTTCTGGCCTTTTGATTGTGGATTTGCAGGATGTACTAGTAGGATTCCACAAGATCTACTGACTAGAAGGATAGAGGAATGACTAGGTTGTAAGTAGCAGTTACTACATCCGGAAGCTTGAATAGTCAGGTCTATGCGATCGCTCTATTGAGTAATTTTCCAGAAAAAATTATTGCCAGCGCATCCTCGAAGTTGTTATCTAACCAGCATGCAGCAGTGCTACGTAGACGAGATACTGGTATATCCCGAAGCTTGCGTGATTATCTGCTATGTAGAGCGTGGGGGGTTTCCACAGTCAGATTCGCTTCGATAGTCTCCCATTACTGACAACGGCAACAACAGCAATTAGCAATCAGCAATCCCAACTACAACAGGAAGGTTCTATAGCGATCAGGGTAGCCCTGCAGAGACATTTTATTTTTAAAATAACAGAGTATGTTGTTTTGGCCATGTGATCATGATTACAGGGAGTTAGGTGCGCCATTCCAATGCACATACAGCGGGTATCTCTGCATCTTTCGAAAGTTCCCACGATCTTCTCGCAGCAGCCCCTGAGCTTCTACCTGAGATCACTGGGTTCTGTTACCTACTGCAGCACCTGTCTACACCGATAGTAATGTACTGAGTTCAGACCGTACACTACATGGGGATTTAGTCGGGACAGACCGACAATCCGGAAGATCAATTACAACCTATCTTGGCTCTTGGCTCTTGATTGGCAATTTTTGAATTACTATGCCAGCTACAAGACACAATAGGTGACATATTGCATTGATGATGCGCGGGGCATTGGAACAAGCTGCTACAGCTGACCCAACACCCGTCGTCTTCACCGCCCTCGACCGCCAACATGTCACGATGTTTCGGAGGGTCTTAGCTAAAAAGGGGGCAAGCGGATGCCATTAGTGATGAAAGGCCCGCGCGGCCTAGTAGCCCCCATTGCCCCCATTTTCGAGTCGAAGCCGAAGGTTAGTGTACAGTAGTGTCAGTCCACTAGGTAAATTCTCTTCTTTCGCATACTAACTTTTCGCCTCTGGTCCTTGTTTGAAAATCCGGGGTGCTCTAAGCTCCTAGTTGTAGCGCAGAGCGCTACTGCAATAATTGAAGAGATTTTTCCCCATATAAACTGCAAAAGCGGGCAGCGGTGAGGACAGATATCATGACTTGGAATCAGCGGTCGAGATGCAAGTTTTTCTGTTGAGTCCAGTTTTACTCCATACTGGTTTGTTCAGTGGTCCAGCAAACAGATCATCAAACACAAGCTCTGGTCCTCGAGATACAGGAGGATAAGTGCCTGCGTGGGCTCTACGCGTAGGCTATCCGAGGTATCATGCCGAAACCGCTATGCGGCTCTTTTATTCTATCCTGTATCAGTCGCCGTAACTTCGTTATCAGCCTCTGTCGTCATTTGCCAATTGCTGGGACTTGTTTTGCGTTACAATACATGTCAACTGAAACTGCGGTTGGTTCGCTTAGACATTAATGCCTGAGATATCATGCATGTAATTCAGGGCCTGTTTCAACGACTAAGATACCATAGGTATGCCTTGATATCTTTCCGGGATATGTCTCGCAGGAGCATGCATGTGTAAGTAGGTATGGTACTCACAAAGCTATCTGAGATTCCCATCAGTGTTAGAATTGAGGTTTTGTGACAGGCTGCTCTGCACCTTGCCATGCAAGTAGCCATGCAGATGACTTATTTAATATACATTATACCAAAACCCTCAACCTTTTTACCACATGGAGAAATATGGCTCTACTTATAATATCACATTAGTAGGCTTGCCACTTGTGAGCTCCGCGCAAGGTAGGTAGATACGTACATCATAGTATATACATATTACCCATCACACGTGTTCATCCCGCGCTGCCAAGCGCCCTTGATGCCGGCAACTTCGGAAGAGTGGGATTCAGCCCTGCAGGTGCAGCAATACTCCGCCATCCCGGATTACGATGACTATGTCTGGCATAGCTCTACCATCTCGGACCCAGGAATAGAGCATTATAGTTATTATCTCATTTTACTATGGTCACGCGTCGCGCAAGTTTAACTCATTACTACACATTAATTATTGTCATCTCTCCTTTACAACAGTCCTTGAACATTCTCATTCACAGGGGCTTCGGCATTCACGCGGCTAGAGCCAACTTCAATACTCGCCAGTACTCAACTCTCGTGGCCGTAAATTGACCTGTCATTGGCTCATCTTCGTAATAACTTGTCTCAACATAATTTCAAAGAGTCTCGTGTAGTCGTGCTATTCCTTTACGCAAGATTTTGTTTGTAAAATGAATTGTATTGCCTGCAGTCAGACATGACGCCTGAATAGAGTACTCCATAACTGAAATACAACTAGGTTAGTGCCAATATGACCTAATGCGGGTGAGAATGATGATATTTTTTTGGTCTCGTGGTCTCGTGGTCTCGTGGTCTCGTGGTCTCGTGGTCTCGTGGTCTCGTGGTCTCGTGGTCTCGTAGTCTCGTAGTCTCGTAGTCATTCAGCTCAAATCATCTAGACCAGGCAGACTAATAGCTAACCGGTATGCCTTTTCAAAGGTGCGAAGTAGTGGGGATGATTGTGTTTTGTTTTATTCTGATTTT